TGACTTTGTTTCCTGTGACTTTTTTTCCTATATTCGAGTCTTCTAGGGCCTAAAGCACAAATACATATAGGAGCCTGGAATGTTCGAACCATTTATGAAACATCAAAGACAGCACAGGTCATCAAGGAAATGCAGCACTACAGGTTGGACATTCTTGGTGTGAGCGAATGTCGTTGGATTGGCTCAGGAAAGACTAGAACAGAAGGGGTGGACAGGGGGTACCCTTCTCCCACCCCCCGCCCCTATCTCCCATCTCCCACTTTTAGAATCTTTTTTTCTCTCCCACCTATTTTTGTCTCCCACCTGCCGCCCCCTTCCTCCCACCTCCCTCAAAAGCTGTCCACCCCCTCAGAACAAATAGTGGAAACATCATCCTGCACTCTGGACACAAAGACAGTCATATTAATGGTGTAGCAATAATTATATGCATAGAAAAGGCAAACACACTGCTAGAATGGGAACCAATCAGTGATAGATTAGTAACAGCAAGATTTAATTCAGACTACTGTAAGCTTTCTATCATACAGTGTTACAAACCAACAAATTGTGCTGAAGATGAAACCAAGGATGATTTTTACGAACAGCTGCAGACTGCCATTTCTAAAGTACCTCAACACGACATGCTGGTAATAATGGGAGATCTTAATGCAAAAGTAGGATCAGATAACACTGATGCTGAAAATGTCATGGTCAGGCATTGTTGCGGGGTGAAAAATGAGAATGGGGAACGTATTATCATCTTTGTCTTTGCAATAGATATAGGGGGCCCCAAATATAGGTGATAGGAGGGACCTCTTTCTTCATAAAAACATCCATAAACTAACATGGAAATCACCGGATGGAAGAACGGTAAACCATATTGACCACTATTGGTGAACAACTGTTACAAGTGGCGTAGATCATTAAGAGATGTACGAGTACTCAGGGTTGCAGATGTAAATAGTGATCACTATCTACTGAAAGCCACCATCAAATTAAAACTAAGGAAGGCACCAACTGAAAATCAGATCAGAAAGAGACTAGACACAGCAAGGCTGGAGTCACAAAATGTCAAGAAAGCATTTTGCTTAGAATTGAAAAATCGATTTAGTGTGCTAGACACTCTGATGATGGAAAAGGCAGTATAAGAGAAGTGGGATAACATCAAAGATATTTATGTAAAGACTGCAGAAAAGACTACAGAAAGACAGTTGTTCACAAGACAAAAAAGAACAAAGATAATGGCTAACACCGGAAACCTGGCAAAAAATTGAAGAAAGAAAAAGTATAAAATAGAAAATAGTAAATGCAAAATCAAAAAGGTTACAAGATCAACTACAAGTAACATACAGAAAAAAAGACAAAGAAGTTGAAAGAAGTGCTAGAAAAGATAAAAGACAATATCTAGAGGACCTAGCAAAAGAGGCAGAAAATTATATAGCTAAGAAAGTTTAAACTAGTTCACTGGCTTGTAAGCAGCCATTAGAATATAAACATAACCTTAGCACGCAATAAAAATTTTAAAAAAAATAGATAATAATTCTGTCTGGCCTTCCCTCGAAACGGGGTATTTTCATTTTTTCTCTTACGAACATATATTTTTGAAAATCACTGCAACGGTATTGAGCAACATCATCACAATCTGCACAAAGTACCAGTAACTCGCTCAAAAGAAAGCAACAGCAAATACGGCTAACATAACAATTAAAAAATATAAACCAAGGCTATGAAAATCCCTTCTTGTTTCTGTCACAAAATGTGGGATAATACTGAAAATCGAAAACTCAGAACACCGTCTCAGACACCGATTGTCATCTCATAAACAAGCAATCCATATAATGCCCAGACTTACAGATACACAGTTTATACGCATCGTACTAAATGTACATAAGGGGACGACCATTTGATATTCTGGGGGGGGGCCAGGAGGATTTGTTTTGGATCGGTTATTTATTTTTGTAAACTAAGAGGACAGATTATCTATTTTCTGCACTATTGAAGCAAGATTTTTCATTTTCATTAAAGCAAGGGACTGATTATTTATTTTCACAACTATATTTATATATTCGAAAACATACAATTTTTAAATTATTTGTTTATTATAAATAATTCATGTATAGTCAAGTCATTATGTACCACTTAATCAGAATTAATTATTATCCTCTGCAGAAATGAATCTCCTATATCCCCCAATGCATATACATGTATTGCATACATACATACACAGTATTAAAGTTTGTTTGTAACTAAGACTCTTTTAAAAGTATTGGCAAACATATTTTGCCGAGCGGAGCGAGGCAAAATTTTTTTTGAAGGGTCTTTGAACCGCTGAAGGCCCAAGAAGCTGTAGAACAAATGATGCAAAATCATGCCTTCTGGGTGTTCCCCAGACCCTTTCTTAAACTGAAAATGCAAGTTCTGTTTTAATAATTTTATGACAATATTTTGGTCTCAAAGCAAAATCACGTTATAGATTCAGTGTAAGACTTAAGTTTCTAGGAACAACATCAAAAGACAAATATGCATGATAAAGCAAAAATGTAATTCACATAGTTAAGTCTGTGGCTGCTGTGTTTTTTTAAACTCAGTATCAAGTTAATAATAAAATTACTAAATTACAAAATGAATGCAACACTAACAGAATACAGAAGGGCAATCAATGAACAAAAGACAAATAAATAAGAAACATTGATCCCGAAAAGTCAGGGGCTACGTCTGAGGGAGAACAGAACTTGCTTCTTGCAAGGCACTCACGGTGAACACAATTTGATATGGAGACAAGCGTTTGGTTTTGAAATTTCCTACATGAGGCATTTGTCTCAATGTAGTTACAGCCCTGATTTAATAAAAGTGAGGTAAGTGTTCCTGAGACAATTAACCTCAGGTTAAATGAAACCAGTTTTCTGACATTTCAATAGATATAAGAAGATGTGGTATGAATGCCAATGAGACAACTCTCCATCCAAGTCAAAATTTATAAAAGTAAACCATTATAGGTCACAGCAAGTATATTTAAATAATATTTATACTTTTATTATTAATTTAAAAGATATGGGAAGTGTTTCCCGATTTTTTTTTTTGGAAAAAAGATGAATTTATGAAGAATCTGGTGCCATCTCATACTTTCGATTAGACCTGCTGAGTTATTTATTTTCAATACATTGCAAGTCAGGTAATTTATTTTCAAACTACCACAGAACAAACCATTTACTTTTGTGATTATCAAGGCTGAGTTATTTATTTTCAAAATCCTCCTGGCCCCCCCCCAGAATATCAAATGGTCGTCCCCTAAAGATTGCTTGCACTAAAAAATGAAAACAACACGTTAAAATACCATGTGTCCGAAGCGCTTTTCTGGATTTACCTCCATCAGGAACGTTCAATGCCGAATATTTAAAAGCCAAAGATGTATAAGAACCGAAACAGTTAAAGTGCATGTGTTATAAGAATGGTATAACACATAGAAAATAAAATGAACATCTGCCTACATTTTATGACTTAGATGATTAGTTTAAAGGAATGATTACTTGTACATTTACCGAAAAGCAAACTGAACTTACTTTATCAGCTGATGACATCTTGTCTTTCAAGTTTTCCTTACTAATATCAGTCCATTGTACTTAAAAAAATCTGTTCGTCCTTCGTCATGGTATCTATGATGAGTTTATTCATATGTTGAAAAATTTTCAACTGTATGTAAGGGAGCTACTATTTGATTTTTATTGGGGGTGGGGCTAGGGTGAAAAATATTTTGTCCTGCATTTTTTTAGTTGTAATCTTTTATTGGGGGTGGGGCTAGGGTGAACAATATTTTGTCCTGCATTTGTTTTAGTTGTAATCTGTGTCCTGCCTTTTTATTTTCACTCTATTCGGTCCTGCCTTTTTTTTTATTAGTTTATCCTGACTTTTTTTTACATAAATTGTCATCCTGCCTTTTTTTTTCACTCAAAACTCCTGTCCTGCCTTTTTTCAAATTTCATCCAAGCCCCCAATGTCCTTACAAACAACGTTATATTGCTGGGTGTTCCAAGTGCTGCACGAAACCTCTTTCTAAATTATTAACTCAATTTTATCAGCAATGAAAGCCTGACTTCAAAGTTATATGAAACTATCTATTCTAGGGACGGCGTGAATCAGATGTGGATACTAAAAATTTCTAAAGATCTGTTCGAGTACATATAATCTAAGACTATCAGCTTGCAATATAATATAAAACATTTGACTTTTCTATTTTTTATTTATATGAGGCTTACTTCATACATAATCTTCTCATGAAGAATGAAAAAAAGCTAGCATATTCTTTAGCTTCAGTTTCCGCTACATAGATGATGTCCTCTCACTAAATAATTCAAATTTTGGTGACTACATTGAATGCATATATCCCATCGAACTTCAGACAAAGGATACAACAGATACAGTTAAGTCTGCCTCATATCTTGACTTACATTTAGAAATTGACAATGAGGGTCAGTTGAGTCAACACTTTACGACAAAAGAGATGATTTCAGATTCCCATTTGTGAACTTTCCATTTCTATGTAGCAACATTCCAACAGCACCTGCATATGGAGTATATATAATATTCCGACAGAGCTTGCATTTCCTATCACAATCTTTCACAAACTGTAGCTTGAAAAAAAGCTACGTGTCCTACAGTTTTTATAATACTTTTGAAAAAAGCACGATATCATATAAAATACATTTTGTCAAAGTATAAAAAAAATGTAATTCCCACCCCACCCTTACTTACATTAAAAATACCACTAGGGACTATTTATATTATTTTTTATATCTTCTATAGCTTATATGATAAATTAAACACACAGCACTAATATAAAAATATTGAAGATGAGAAGTATATAAAAACCAACAGCAATAAACACTCAATAGTCTATTTAACAGATATATCAACTGAGAGGTGCTCCTAGCTAAAGGACGTTATCTCGTAGGAAAGAGTGAATGTAAATAAAATAACAAATGTACGTTCCGTTCCCATATTTTTTTTTACTCTTTCATCATGCTTTGCCGAAATTTTATTTTACAAAAAAGTTTACTCGCTTTTCTATTAAGACCACATACAAATAAAGAAATAAGAAGATTAAAAACTAGATATAATAGATACACGGGTAAACGCATATCTAAGCTACAGGAAAAGTCTTCGGATAGTTTGCAGAATGTCGTGAAGACATCAAGTTTCAGTAATTTTGTTGAGTTATGTGTGATATCCAGTGGTGGCCCAGGCACTCCAAAATCTGTGATTTTAGTCACATCAAATGGGAGGTAAATAAAAAACGATTAAAAATAGATAGCTGACATTCACTATTTTAAAATATCAGACAGGAGGTGAATGTAGGTGTTTGAATTTTTTTTCAGATAGCTGACAATTAAAAAAAAATAATATCAAACAGGAGGTTGTTGATTTTTTCAGTTTTTCTCTCCAATATGTCAATTTGTAGTTAATTTATATGAAGAGTATCACCGATTGACCTGATGTCACTCTGTGAAAATGATATAATTGAACAATCGATTCTTACTATGATCATGATGATGTAATAACATAAGCATTGTGACATTGTAAAATTGGAATCAGGGTCCGTTTGCCCTGATTCGTGTTTGCCCTAGTACCTGTTCGCCCTAATACCTGTTCGCTCAGGGTCCATTCACCCTGATTTTTTTTTATTTGTGTCAAGTTGCATAATGCTTATTTGAACAGAGTACAAAATGTATGTTAAAGTTTGTTGAAAACATCGACAAATGTTTGTATTGCTGCAACCAAATAATTATTTTCCTTTGAATTGCATAGTAAAATACTGAAATACAATGTATTTATCTTTATTGATATGTGTTAACAATTTTAATAATTCTAGTCAGTCAATTTATGTAGTATGATAATAAATGAACTTATAAATCCTGTTCATGTTTTACAATTCGTACATGTACATCATTGTTTTTACTTATTCCAAGCTGACTAGTTTATCAAAACAAAATCTTGTTTTTATTATTAATCCATCAAAGACAATTATTACAACAATCAGCATGATCAGTGAGAATTATTATAATGAACAATTTATGCTCCAAAACACGCCATCAATTTTAAATATTTCATGTGGTTTCATGAATTTCAAGAATTTATACCATATAAATATCTGAAAAATTTATTATAAAAGTAGGGAGAACGAACCCAGGGCGAACGGACTCTATGGGCTAACGAACTCAGGGCGAACGGACCCAGGGGCGGACATGTTATGAGGGCAAACGGACCCGATACCTACCGTAAAATTGCAAAAAAATTATTTACAGGGAAATACATGAATATATCAGTTGTTGTATAATTTATTCAAAGTACTAATCCTGGTAAACCAGGTATTCTTTTTTAATTATTACATGAATGGTTCATTCAACCTACTGCTTTAGTGGTCTAGTAGTAGTAGATTGTCTCAATTGCAGGAGGTTATGGGTTCCATCACAGCTTGTTTTTTCTTCTCTGCCAAGCATGCAGCATTTAGGTGTAAAAACAAAGACTGGTCGGCTCTGTGTTAGACTAATGTGTTTGGGTAGGATGACATGTCTTCCTGTGGACAGTTGCCTTGTAAACTATCAAGTCAAAACATGGCTAAATGTGTCAGTCTAGTACAGTTCATATTCATAGAAACATTAACATGTTCTCGTATAAATATTCATTTAATTTGCCGCTAGACATTAAAGAACCAACCAGCATCATCATCCAATTTATTACAAAATGGATGACCAACATAAAAGGGATGACAATTAGCGAAAAATATAAGAACAGCAGTATCAACATTTGAACTTGTAATTCAAGTGAAACAGTTGCTTCATCCATTATCATGATTATTTTTTTGCAAGCGTGTGTTTCAACACATTAATTTGATTAAATATTTCTATTTATACACAGTGTTTACAATTTCCCGGGTAATTAGGTCAGATTGATTGCATTTTTACTCGTAGTGTAAACGCAGTGGTTCAGATTAGACCAATAGAGATCGTTAGGATAAAAGATAATGTGAACGCTAACTGGTTTTACTTAGAACAAGATGTAGAACGATTCAAATTGAGATAGATTAAAAAAATGCTAGTGTGAACAGGGTCTTACTGTCATCATGCATGTTATGTATTTTGCCTGAATACTTTGATAATGTTTAAACATTCCCTTCTTACTGTCATGATTTGGTTATCTTATTTAACATGATTAATGTGCTCCATTTGCTTTGCAGTAGGCTTTAACACAGAATCTTTTAGAAGTCTTTTATTTTTTGTCGTAAATTTCATTGTTCTAATTATGTCAAGGGTTCAAGCATTAGGATATTGTAATATTTATTGCATTTTTACAGATTAATTTTTATTTCATTTCATTCATTGTCATACATCATGTACATTTCATATGAAAAATCAAGCCAAAATTCTGTTTTTGTTTTTCAATGCTTACTGGTATATTTTACATGTATATTTCAAGATTAGAGGCACATAGCGCTACAAATATATTTGTATTTCTCCATAATTTGAATAACTTATATATTCTTTATTAAAAAAGATCTCATGTATTAAAATGATGTTTTGGTTTTTTTTTTTAACAGCTAACACCTTAATTATTGTGAACACTGATGATTTTGTATTGCAATGTATAGAGAATCATTTGATAATTAAACAGAATTGTACATTATGTATTTTCAGTTTTGTATTTAATTGTGGAGAAGGAACTCAGAGAATAAAGAATGTTTGGTAAGGTCATACTTAATTTATTCCATTTTGAATGGTGCATTCTTTAAAAGATTTTTTGAATTATAAGAAACAATTATATCATGTATATTGTTTTCAAAACTTCTAATTAACAACACATGCACACATAACATAACAAAGTGAAATGGGAAGCTTTAACTTCAAACTTTTCATTACACAGTGGTCTTCACTTATCTGCATAAATTAAACCTTTTGACCCCTATTTTGGGGTGCAAATGTTAATGCTTAACTAGAAAATCTTCACAACAATATTATTTTTCCATTTCGCACATGTTTATGCATCAACATGAACAACTTCAAACACTTATCATCTTGAAATAATGGACTTGATATTGAGGGAGGGCCAAAAAAACCCAGCCAAATAGTATCCTGAATGCACTTACTTCAACATAGCAATGAAATATGTGGTTTAATGCTTAAGATATAATGCTTTAATCTTTATACTGTATTGAAATAAAACTTAAAGAAATGCTTTCTTTTTGGATTTTTTAGCTTCAAGAAGTTTGCTAGAATAGAAAACATTTTCATCACTAATAAGTCTTGGAACAATCTTGGAGGATTATATGGTATGTAATTTCATTTGAAGGTAAAAATTGAAATTTGATCAAGGACAAATTAAAGCAATATGTATTTTCATGTTGTATGACTATCTTTTGTTGTTTGCATCCAACTAACTTTTTTTGCCATTTTCTGTTACTTCTCAATAAATATCCAAGCCTATATCATGTGCAAGTGTTTTTTTTTTTACCAAAAAAAAATTGTTATAGAAAATTATCCTAATTGTATTTAGCATAAATCAGACTCTTGCATTGGTTTCTCTTTGGAATTGGTTCACATTTTGATATACTTAGGCTCATTTAAAGTTTAATTACCATACAGTATTGGCTTTGCTCATTGTTGAAGGCCATGCAGTGCCCTATAGATGTTTACATCCTCAACCTTTGGTCTCTTATGAATAGTTGTCTCTTTGGCAATGACATACCACATCTCTTTATCAAAGATTGAAGTTCTTCGTCCGAAAGTTCAGCTAGAAACATCTTTCTTATGAAGTTATTCTCAGGAATGAATTAATATAATTTATAATTTGTTTTTAATTGCAGGAATGTCTCTAGGTTTAGCAGTAGCAGGTGTTGGAAAAGTTACTGTACATGGACCTGTTGGAATTGTATGTATGGCATATATATCAATAAAAAATATACATCTTTGGTATTAATTTATATATCAAAAGAAATAAATAAATAAATAAGGCAAAGGAAATATGAGTAGAAACTGATGGTTGTATCATTTTCAGACAGTTTATGCTTAATCCTTTATCATGTTTTTTTTGAGATAATTGTAGGTGTTATAATGTTGCTTAAATCAATAACTCTGATTGATCTTGGATGGGTACCTTGTGTTTTTGTCATTTTACTAACTTTTTTGGTGTGCTTATTGTCAAATTATACTGATTAGTCAAGCCTTTTCCAACTGATTATATAGTATGTTCATATGTAGTGTTATTGCACCACAGTCTCAAGAGTCAAGTTAGGGGCGAGGTTTGAGCCCTCCCAAAAATGTTAAACTACACCTGACATTATGTGCCTGTCCAAAGTCATGATCCTGTTATTCAGTGGCTGTTGTTGGTTGCAGTATGCCATATTTGTTTTTTTGTTTATTGTTTGAAGCGTAAATCAGGCCGTTGGTTTCCTTTTTGAATTTTTTCACATTTTGTCATGCTGAGGCCTTTTATAGCTTACTATATGGTATGGGTTTTGCTCATTGTTGAAAGCCGTAAGGTGACCTTTAGATGTTTACATCTTCGTCCTTTTGTTTCTGGTAGTTAGTTTTCAATCATACATTGTACCACATCTCTTTATATCTATATTCTTAACTTTAAGGGGCATGTCCTAGGTGTACTGCTCTGTTGTATATTTCAAAGAAGACATCTACATGTATTATAAAAAATCAACATGAATATTTCAGCCTGAATTTTTAACCTGTTATCTGTCTTGCTGAAATACTTAACTAAATAAGGTACTGGGTATATGTACACTTAAAGTAGTTTATCTCGAATCAGGTGCTCAGTAACTTTTGAAACTTCATTTATTTAGTGTATTTAAAACGTGAAACTTTTTGGTTTTATTTGAAGGAATCTGTAGTACAAAGAAAAGGCTATATGATGCTTTATGATGATATCAACACAAAATTGGATATTGGTAAATATTTTTTTTCTTTACATAAAATGGTTAAACACATTTGATAATAAACTACATGTTTTGTTTTTTTCTCTTCTTTGGTATAATTTCATATTATAGAAAATTCTGTTTGGATGGATTAACTAGTGTATTTAATCACTGGATCAGTAGATGGCTAGAAAGCATTTTATATACTATGTGCCAATAGCAAGGCAACCACTAAATGTATTTTCCTTTAACAAAAATTCAAACCTACAGATATTCTTTGGAAGTTGAACAATTGTTCTAAGACTTTGAAGACTTTTCAGCATATGCATACAGAACATTTTCAGATATATTCAAAGCTTTTTGATTTTCAGATTTATACATTTACAAATTCCACATTTTGAAAAAATGGACCCCTATATCAAAGATTATCAAAACTTAATTTAGTTGAATTATTTTGTTTTGTATTTAGTCTAGTGTGATTAGATTTAGAAGAAAAGACTTTAATTTTGAGCTCTATTGGACTAATCCCAAGTTTCTGAACTGTAAAAAGTTAATATGCAACCAAACTATTAAAGTATTAGTAACATTTAGCCAAATGTTTAAGGAAGGCATTGAAACAATATTTTAGCATTGCTATTCAAAAAAAGGACCAAATATGATGTGATTCTTTATATATATAATTATAAACTGATCATTAAAGATATGGTTACAAAAATACATTTTAATAATAGCTGAAACATGCAGTAAAGTGATTTAGTTATAGATCATTTGTAGATTGAGGTCAGAAATGATGTTTTTTTTTTTTTTTACTATTTTGTCTTTTATAAAGTAATCTGTTTCTCAGTTATGTACATAAGTTGTAATTTATTCATTATTTGTCTAAAAAATCCATATAATTTATATTTCTGTGTGCATGAAACATGTACTATATTCATTTTAAAGCATTTGACATATTTTTTTATATTTTGATAGGGAGACAATCAAAAGCAATGACAGGTTTTGAAAATTCTGATTTAAATATTGCCTATGTTCCATTATTACCAGACAAGAAAGAAGATCTGTATTATCCTCCAAAAGACCAAGGTAACACAGATAACTGATAAGGATAATTGATATGTATAATTGTTCATGGTTTCAATTGCTGTCAAGTTATGAAGTACTAGAACACACCTGTGACTCGCTGGTCCGTGACTGAATTAAAGTATCTACGTCTTATTTTTAGCCTGGACTTTTAGTATTCGTATTGTCATCTTATAAATTGATGCTGATTATAAGGTGTACAGTTTTCTCTGCTTTCAAAATCTTTCTGTTTGAACCCGTCGACCAGGAACTTGTTAGTTATTGGTAATACTAATTATGTGGAAAACAAAAGGGCCTGGAATGGTGTGTCAGTCCAATAACAAGAAAATGCTATTACCAAATTTTTTCAAATTTAGATATGTTGTTTCCTGTGACTAAATGAAGGTCAAGTTCAATTTTCATGATTTTAGGTTTTCTCCTTGTTGAGTTATCGCCCTTTTTAATATCCAAAAGTGGTACTTCTAATGTGATTGAGTTATTTCCCTTTGAACAAAAATTGTTAATTATATATATAAAGTTTGATTACACTAAGTGTTTTTAAATAGTTTTCACCTGTTATCAGATTACAAAACGTATGGTAAATGTCTTATGACACAATTGTAATTGGAGTGACGGATTTATTTGAAAATTTTCTGTTTCCTAAGTACTGATGATTATAAGCTATATAGTAAGAAATTTACTGTTCATTTTTAGACATTTTAAAGATAATTACAGACAAGTTTTAAAGATTTTTAAAAGACATTGTATTAAAAATAAAATTTTGGATTTGGTTAATTGTTTGAAGAATTTTGTGGTAGGTTTGTTTGTTATTCTGTAAAAACTAATTTTCTGAATGCTGTATGTATTTTTTTTATGAAGTGAACTTTAAAAACTAAGCTTATATTGTCTTTTAATAAACATATATTTAGATTTCTGATTTTGGGCCCAGTTTTCAAGTTGGTCCAAATTGGGGTCCAAAATTAAACTGTGTTTGATTTCAACATAAATTGAATATTTATAGGGTTCTTTGAAATGCTGAATCTAAACCTGTATTTATTTTCATTATTGATTAGATAATACCACATTTAGGTCCCAAAGGGTCCTAAATTAAACTTTTGTTTAATTTAATAAAAAATTGAATTCTTGGGGTTCTTTGATATGCTGATTCTAACAATGTTTTAGTGATTAAATCATATCTAATTTTAGAGAACTTAGTCATCACTGGTTGTTGTTATTATATTATTGAATATAATTTGAAAATAGATGTATATAACATATCTAATTTTAGAGAACTATTTATTCAGTTTGAGTTATTTCCCTTTGAACAATATTATATGGATAAAATTAAACTGTGTTTCATTTCAACATAAATTAAATATATATAGGGGTCTTTCAAATGCTGAATCTAAACCTGTATTTAAATATTAGATTTTTGGTCCCAGTTTTCAAGTTGGTCCAAATCAGGGTCCAAAACAAGGCTTCCAAAACGGTCATATATTCCGGACATTTGTATAATGTCCGGTAAAAGTCCGGCTGGGCAAAACATGAAACGGACATCTACTTTTTAGTTTTCAAGGCTTAAGAGACGGTCATTTTAACATATTTCGCGATCTTTTTGACCCAACCTTTTGCCTTTAACAGCCACACATTTCCGGTCATAAAAGTGACATGATCATTAAGTACTATCAAAACAACCCCTACTTTAATACCTTCTCATTTTAATCAAGGCTAATTAGTTGTCGAACAGCTGAAATTTACCTGTTCAGGTGACAGGTAAACTATTTTGAACCAGACATTTATCGGTCTATTTAAAGTTATTTTCTTACATTTCAGCGGTTTGCATCTTATTAATTTAGTTAAAAAGATTAAAATTATCAGAAATACATTTACAAATATGATTTGATGAAAAAATAAAAAAAAGGTGAAAATGAAAAATCGTCATAACCACGTTGTTTGAACCAGAGACATGTCTCTGTTTGAACTAGTACACGTGTGCGCATGTGTGCAGGTGTGAAATTTAATTATGCATCCTAATTTTTTCAAAAAATGCTTAAATTGTCATCGATACCTTTATCTCACGTTTATTTCGTATATTTTCTTGAAGAAATAACGTAGAAAGAGCTACTTGCACTCATTCATGCTTTGCAAACGTACACAGAATTTACGTATCCGTCTCTGGTCCATGTTTTACCATTGTCAAGATAACATCCGGTTTAGATTTGAAAACGAAAGTAAAGTTTTTGACAACGTTATTTTGCACAAATAAAGAGTCTAAGCAGATATAAGTACGCTGATGTTGCACACTTCGAATGATGCACTGCCAATTTAACAGTTTACGTCAGAACTTTGAATTTGAATCAAAGAAAGTTTAATATCGTTTTTTTTTTAATGTCAATCATTGGGATGGCCAACTCGGCAACTGATTACCATAATTGCCTTTTATTTATTTAGTCTTAAGGGATTAAAATCGGGATAATATATAAAATGTCCGGCTGGCTAAAAATAATTTTGGAAGCCCTGGTCCAAAAATTAAACTTTGTTTTGATTCAATAAAAATTGAATTTATGGGGTTCTTTTAAATGCTGAATCTTACCATGTATTGACAGATTTTGGATTGTGGGCTCCTTATTCAAATTGGTCCACATTGAGGTCCAAAGGGTCCTAAATTAAACTTTTGTTTGATTTCATAAAAAAATGAATTCTTGGGGATCTTTGATATGCTGATTCTAACAATGTACTTAGATTTTGGATATTAGACCATAATAGGTAATTGTCCAATTTCAAATATTTCAGTTCTTTGACCACATTCATTTTGTGTCACAAACCTATGCTGTGTCAAATATTCAATCCCAATCCAAATTCAGAGCTGTTTTAAGCTTAAATGTAGTGTCCATACTTGCTCAACTGTTCAGGGTTCGACCTCTGCAGGAAAATCCGGTTTGCTGTCACTCTGACAGCCTCTTGTTGAGCACAAAAATCCTCCTAAATTTTTTCTGCATCACTACACTTGGCCATTAATGTGAAATTTTTTGGAATTACCTCCCCTCTTTTAAAAAAATTCTTGGATCCAACCCTGTTAGCAGTTTTATCATGTTAGCGCTTTTAAAGAAAATATGACCTATATGGTTTGCCTAAGGTTCATGGTTGTAAGGTGTACATGTCTGTCTTCCAGGTTTTATCTAACCTTGACTTCATTTTCATGGTTCATTGGTCATTGTTAATTTTTCATGGTTTTGTCAGTTTATCAGATACTATCAGCAATATGTCAACTATATTTGTTGTATGGTATGAATGTAAGGTGTACATGTCTGTCTAGTAGGGTTCATATGACCTTGATCTCATTTTATGGTTCATTGATCAATGTTAAGTTTATGTGGTTTGGTCTGTTTTCCAGGTACTTTAAGCAATAGGACCACCATATGTGGTGTATGAAATGATTGTGAAGTGTACATGACTTTCTGGCATGGTTCATCTGACCTTGACATCATTTTTGATGGATCATTGATAATGTTAAGTTTATGTGATACTTGTTGTAAAACCTTCATATTACAGACTTTCAACATAATATGTATGTCCTACATGCAATGAAATTGAGTCTTTTTGAATTAACTTTGATTTGTCTACACTTCCTTGTTCATTTCTTATATACAATAGATTGGACTACATTGAGATTGAAATATATCATTTCTAGAATAATTTATTATCAGGGTGTATATTTATACTTTATGCTATATCACAAAGCTGTGGCAGTTAGACAATTATTAAATCAAACCTTGTCTAGACAGTATTTTCACTGCTTCAAATTTCCACGTTTGTGAAATAACCAATTTATATCGCCAATACTGAGCATTCATTCTTACATGAAAAAAGTATATATATGATACCAAATTCCTAAAGTCATCTTGTCTAGCATAATTATTAGTCATTAACTGCTTATTAAGCCTGTAGTTAAATATTTTGACTTAGAAGGTGCTGATCGCCTCCATTTGTTCAAATTGACCTCATGAGGAATTCTTGACTAAGGAATGAAATTGCATGAAACAACAATTTACTTCAATATTGTGAATCATTCTAGCTGGTCTTGGGATAATTCTTTGTATGAAAGACTTTGAAAGTGAAACTGGTAGTCAACTTCACTTCACAATTATTTTTTGATAAACAAACAAAGGCCATAGATTTTAAATACAGATCATTTCTATTCTATTGTCAGTCAGCCTACCTACAATGAATCTGATATTTGTTGATAAAATAAGATTTATAAGGTTGATGGTGAAAATGGTGAAAAATCTGGACTATCATAAGATACCCCAAAAAATAGAAACAATGGCCGTTTTTTCCCTTAGAGCTCCCAGCACTTTGATTCATATATGTTATCAAGCTTTATCTAGGTTATATAGAGGATATAGTGCATCATTTTTATTATACCCCGCTTTAAAAAAGTGGGGGTATACTGTTTTACCTCTGTCTGTCCATCCATCAGTCCGTCAGTCCGTCCGTCCGTCCCATAAATAGTTTTGTCGCATTTTTCTCAGGAACTACTTGACAAGGATTTCTGAAATTTGGTTTCAGGGTTTATATAAGTAAGTTACACCCTGTGATGTGTTTTCAGATTCATCACTCAACAACTTCCTGTTTACCGAACACTTGAATTATTTTACACATGATAGCCAAGTTGAAAATTTTCGTTACATTTTTCTCAGGAACTACTTGACAAGGATTTCTGAAATTTGGTTTCAGGGTTTATATAAGTCAGCTATACCGTGTGATCCGTTTTCAGATTCATCACTCAACAACTTCCTGTTTACCGAAATATCTCGGCGGGGGTATTATCAGTGAGCAGTAGCTCACAGTTTTACTTGTTATTTGTTTTATTGTAGAATCTTCTAGTCCACTATCACAACAGCTTCTTTCATTTTATACACCTTTATCAGACCCAGATTGTACTTATGCCTATATCATTAAGGTATGTAGAAAAAATTAGTCATTTTCATTATTTTTATTTTAGTTTACAAGTAGCAAGAAATGATACTGGAATATTTTTATCCATTTATGGGGTTACTTTAGTCTTAAACCTGTTAACACATAAAGTTTTATGGATTTATATGTTAGATATAGAATGATGAAAATTGTGTTTAATCATATTAAAAAAATAAATGAAACTAGTTTTTTTTTTATTTGTAACTAAATACCTGATCTTGTTCTATTATTTAGTCATTTGTAAACCCACTCTATATGCATAAGGTAAAGTGGCATGATTTAGAAAATATTACCTAATTTGTATTATTTCAGCCTAATCCTAAAAATCAAGTTGTAAATTATCAGAAGTGTATAGACTTAGGTATAAATGAGTAAGTACAAGTTATGTTTTCTTTTTTACCAACATATTATTGAAGACCATGTTTATTTTTAAATCTAGCTGAATTTAGGTAAATATTTCACTAATTATATTTGATTTATATTTCATACTGTTATGATTGATTGGAAGGATATCGTTAAAAAAATGTTTTTTTTGGGTAAAGATTGCATGATATGCAATCAAAATTCTATGGTATTGACTAGGTATTTACAGTGATCTGGAAGGATTTTTTCTCTATGGGCCCAGGGCCCCCCAAAAATAAATTCAATGGGCCATTTTTAGAATTAATGGGCCATGTTGTCAAATGAGTGGGCCATTCGTTAACAATAAAAAAAAATAAAAAAGTGTATATTTCACTGTACTTACAAGTATGATTCTAATTAATATCATGGAAATTGTTCCTGTGATTTTGTTATTTCAATTTCAATGAATATACAATAACTTCTTCCAAACCGGGCAATATTTACGATAACCTTTATTTACAATGTTCAAACTGGTACTGTTCCCTTGTTCATGTTCATGTTTTTTTTACATTAAATTTGGGTCTTCGTCGATACCATACTTATTCCAGACGTTCCGTATTAGAGGACGTTTCTGGCATTTCCTCTGCACTTGTATTATTATTACTTCATCACGATGACAAGAATAACAGTAGAGAGCAACGTTAATTGATAAGACACGACAACAATTCGCTGAAGGCATGTTTAATGTCAAAACGAGCCAAAGACCAAAAAAATTGACAAGGACAGTTAAGCCCCTTTTATGGAGACAAATACTATGCTATTCATAAAAAGGCTTTTGGATTTTTCAATCGAAATAATAGCAAGCTTACTTAAAAGATTATAATTAGAGAAGAATTCTCGACTGTACTAGCCAATTTTCACAAATTTAAAGTTGTTTATAAAAAATTATATCATGAATGATGGTTAATTACGTTTTTTGGGTAATCAGTCATACCGCATGTTGCTATTATTACCATAGGAAAACACCTGAGACGTCCCAAAAATATATAAGTGCTCCTATCATTGGAGTTGTGTACTCACACCTGGCGGCACGAAATACGATCGGAAATCCATTCGACGATATCTCAACGTTTCAAAAAGAAGTGAAAAATATCATGCACCACGCGGGCGCTTACATTTGTCACTCTATGCACCATTTCTGGTCGATAAGCGCAATTGGCCCAAGGCGCACGTCCTTCCCGATCACTGTATTTAAATCTTCCAAGGTTTATCACTACCTTTCATAGTTCAAACAAAATAGTACAGTGAAGTGATCATTCTTTAGATCCTATCCAGTCATTGTCATGCAATTTATTAATGATATGTTATACTTATATATTCAAGTTACAATATAATGTGTATTTGAATTACCATACTTATCAAGAAGATTTTCTTTACTGACACTTACATATAAGTAATGAAGGTGTATGAATCTGTGATAAAAATAGGTTAAACTACAAATGTACAATCATGGAGGATAACTCCAACTCAAAATAATAATTTGCCTAGCTGATTACAATTCAATTCTTTATTTTTTTTAAATTTCCCAAAATTGCAAAATGAAAGCAATCTTTACACTTTCAGTGCTCACAAGCACTTTGATTTGCAAGATAATCTTTATGAAGATACTACAAAAATACGGTTGGAAAAAACAATTAGAATATGTAAGTGAGATAATAGTCAATAAATACAATGAAAAAAATGATTTATCTTGGAACATTACTTTTATTGCTGTTCTTCATGTAGACATTTGTTTGAAAAAAAAGACATTTGTTTGAAAGTCTTCATTATTGAACAAAAACATTCATACATGTATTTTACTTTTAGGTTTGTTGTTTATATTGTTAACCCCTATCAACAGAAGTTGGTTTACCATTGAACATTAAACAGTCAGGAATCATTTTGTATGATCTTTTTATTTAGTTGGATATCTTGTTTTCATCATGGCATTCCTCTGAAATGTTCACATAAAAATAGTTGTCAGACAATAAAAACTGCATTGATAATTCTAATCCTTCTTAAAAATGTTGTCATAAAATATAAAATGAAATTCCCTACAATTTTGCTAATAAAATTGTTATCCAAAGTTCTTGTACATAAATATGATAAAGAAATAATTGCATTTATGATTTTGCGAAATTTCTAATCTATATAGAATAATGACATTTTTGTTTTTGATACTGATTTTATCAGCAAGAATATCAAATGAGCCCCCGTTGTCAATTTGTATGACGTCGCATGCATTTTCATTGATCAATTGACAAGGATGGACATGAGAGCATGACGTTGCCGCATTGATACTGACATCATTTCCTTATATTTTCGAGTTTCAAGTCCTGTCCATGATGTAGAAATATATTAGGCAGTAAGATCAGAGGGAAAATGTAGAAATTGTTGATAAAATTTGATACAATTGTTTTGCTTGTAGCGTTTCCTTAGTAAAACAGTTACGTGATGGAGAGAATGTAACTTTATCTGATGGAAGAATAGTAAGTAATGTTTATATTTACTGAATTTCTAGCTTAGTTACATCTAAACTGCTGAATTACAAGGATGAAATAGTAATATTACGACCTGGAATCTTTTAAAAAGCTAATTTCAAAGCTTTTCTATATTTATTCCATTATTTTAATGGAAATAAAAAACACACATAAATAGTATAAATATTTCCTATGTATTTAAATAGTAAAGTTAATCATAAAAAAAATATAAAAAAAAATATGAAATAAGCAATTTCTCATCATGAAACAATGTTCACTATGATAAACCATGAATAGTGGATATAAATATAAACTTCAAAAGTTCATAATAAGAACCAAGTGAAACATAGATACAATGAAAAAGAGAGTTAACAAAATGATGAAAAGTTGCCTTGTGTGTCATAAAATCAAACTCAAACTTTAAATCCTCATATAAAAAGTTGGTGACTCAGTTGTTGGGATTGTGTGAAATATTTTGGGTACATATCATGACTTTATGTCACTAAAAATCAACGCGATACACTGTATAAAAATGATACAGAAGAGTTGCATAGAATTTGATTTTGATAAAAAAAAGTGTGCATTTCCTTGTCTAAATCGTATCAAACAAAACAAAGTTTTTAAAAATGAAATAAAAGTATTTGTTTGCTGCTGATAGCATAATGCTGTATATATGCAAAATGTCTGTTATTGCATAAAATGTCTGGTGATGGTAATTGGTACTTGGCTGTAACTGGTCCTCAACCAGTACTCATTGTGTGTGTATGGTTAAAAGTTAAACTGAAACCATATTATATTTTTTTCAGATGTGTCCCGATGATGTATTAACAGAAAAAGAAATTGCAAGGCCTATTATAAGTAAACTTTCTAATATTTCTATTTATTTGAAGGGTTCAAACATAATGCAGTCAAAGGCATGACAGGCACATTAATTTTAAGCTCACCTGGCCCGAAGGGCCAAGTGAGCTTTTATCATCACTTGTCGTCTGTCATCCGTCGTCGTTAGCTTTTTACAAAAATCTTCTCCTCTGAAACCACTGGGCCAAATTTAACCAAACTTGGCCACAATCATCATTAGGGTATCTAGTTAAAAAATGTGTCCGATGACCCCTCCTGCCAACCAACATGGCCGACATGGCTAAAAATAGAACATAGGGGTAAAATGTAGATTTTGGCTTATATCTCTGAAACCAAAGCATTTAGAGTAAATCTGACATGGGTAAAACTGATTATCAGGTCAAGATCTATCTGCCCAAGGGTCCGGAAACGGTCATATTTGCCAGTCATGTCCTAAGATGAAACTATTTGTCCTAAACGAGTAATTGGGATTTAGGACAAATTTTATTTTTTTACAGAAGTAATTTCGGTCATTTCTTTGACTCAATGTTTGAAATCGGATTTCTTAATAGACATTTTGCACTTGTGATCACTTGTTTTTGTTTATAATCCCTTTCCTGTAATAAAACTGCCACTACAGTAGTTTGATAATCCTGTGGGCCCTCCTAATATCTATATCAATGCCTCCGGGAAACATTGGCTAATGATCGCTAATCACTTTTTACCTGTGGTTTTAATTCACACCTGACAGTGATCACAAGCTCAGAATAATATCTTTAAAACATTAAAGTTCCCTGACAAGTGTTTTCATTATTTATTTACTTTCCATCAAAGACAGTCATCAATTCTGATTTAAAAGTAAATCTAAATTTACGTAGAAAAAGTATTTTTTTCATGAGTAACACATGTGCTTTATTTACTATGTAATACGCATGCGTGAAATTATCTTCAGCAAATTTAATATTTAATCGTAAAATGCAAATTGATTTCATGCTAAATTAAACGAGTGCAACTATTATCTGTTATATTCAAACACTTTTAAAGGTAATAAAATAAAAAAGCCATAAAAAGCCGGTGATTTCCTGTCAATTTGATAAACAAAACAAATCCCGGAAATGAATCCGGAATTATTCGTACTTTAAAATATCGCAAACTTCCGGTTTTAACTTTTGTCAAATCGAAAGAAACGTAAGCAATGTCTGAGAAATTAACCATTTTGAGTCATTAAAATCATTTCAATTTTAGACTGTTGCCTTCCCTAAACTGTCCTTCATGGTAATGGTAAGACATTTACTTAGTAAATGCGATAATGAAACAGCAATACAAGTTCGTCATGTTCGTTGATGCTATGAATATAGTCCAGTCGATATTGACAATTTGAGAAGGGGCACCAACTTTTCAAACACCTCAACATGACCGAAATTGTCTGGAAAAATTTCCGGATCCTTGTATCTGCCCTTAAATTTTCAGACAAATCTGACAACCTGTTGTTGGGTTGCTGCCCCTGAATTGGTAATTTTAAGGAAAATTTTGCAGCTTTTGGTTATTATCTTGAATATTATTATAGATAGAGATAAACTATAAACAGCAATAATGTACAGCAAAGTATGATCTACAAATAAGTCAACATGACCAAAATTGTCAGTTGACCCCTTAAGGAGTTATTGCCCTTTATAGTCATTTTTTTATAATTTTCATAAATTTTTGTAAATTTTTACAAAATATTTTCCACTGTAACTACTGGGCCAAGATCATTATAGATAGAGATAATTGTAAGCAGCAAGAATGTTCAGTAAAGTAAGATCTACAAACACATCACCATCACCAAAACACAATTTTGTCATGAATCCATCTGTGTCCTTTGTTTAATATGCACATAGACCAAGGTGAGCGACACAGGCTCTTTAGAGCCTCTAGTTTTGTTATTATCTTAGATATCATTATAATATCTAATATCTAATACTATTAATTATGATTTTAGCCTTATTTTACATTATTTCCAAAGCATCAGTAAATACAGGTGAGCGACACAGGCTCACGAGAGCTTCTAGATTAATTGGTTATTGTATTAATATATTTTTTTTGGTTAATTGAGTGTTCTTTTTGTACAAAATAAATAAACATACAAAGCAAATACATGTATAACCATAACCAGATCAAACTATGGAAATACCCCTGTACTAACGATGTTTCTCAGAAATCAATGTAGGAATTGCAATTTATAATATGGCACAATATTACAATTAGGAAGAAATATCTATAAGTGAAGCAGTACTACCGGTATATATGATTAGAATTACTATATGTAAGCATTAGCTGTGAAATCATGCCTTCTTACATTTTTAGCTCACATGGCCCAAAGGGCCAAGTGAGCTTTTCTCATCACTTGGCGTCCGTCGTCCTGCGTCCTGCATCCTCCGTCCGTAAACTTTTACAAAAATCTTCTCCTCTGAAACTACTGGGCCAAATTTGACCAAACTTGGCCACAATCATCATTGGGGTATCTAGTTTAAAAAATGTGTCCGGTGACCCGGCCAACCAACCAAGATGGCCGACATGGCTAAAAAATAGTACATAGGGTAAAAAGCAGTTTTTGGCTCATATCTCTGAAACCAAAGACCAAAGCATTTAGAACAAATCTGACACAGAATAAAATTGTTCATTAGGTCAAGATCTATCTGCCCTGAAATTTTCAGACCAATCAGGCAACACGTTGTTGGGTTGCTGCCCCTGAATTGGTAATTTTAAGAAAATTTTGCAGCTTTTGGTTATTATCTTGAATATTATTATAGATAGAGATAAACTGTAAACAGCAATAATGTACAGCAAAGTAAGATCTACAAATAAGTCAACATGACCAAAATTGTCAATTGACCCCTTAAGGAGTTATTGCCCTTTATAGTCAATTTTTTACAATTTTCATAAATTTTGTAAATTTTTGTAAATTTTTACAAAATATTTTCCACTGTAACTACTAGGCCAAGTTCATTATAGATAGAGATAATTGTAAGCAGCAAGAATGTTCAGTAAAGTAAGATCTACAAACACATCACCATCACCAAAACACAATTTTGTCATGAATCCATCTGTGTCCTTTGTTTAATATGCACATAGACCAAGGTGAGCGACACAGGCTCTTTAGAGCCTCTAGTTATATATAAAAATAAGAAGATGAGGTAGGATTGCTAATGAGACAACTCTCCCCCCAAGACATGTTTGCGATTTCTTGTTGCTCTATGTCCAGCAGGAAATTTTATATGCAGTATTAGGCTAGAAATTATCAGTTTTCTTTAGAAAATAGGCAGTTGGTACTTCTCTTAAACTGAGTTTTACTGTGCATACTGTTGTATGTTTGTTTTTTCTACATGGGCTAGAGGTATAGGGGGAGGGTTGAGATCTCAAAAAACATGTTTAACCCCGCCGCATTTTTGGGCTTGTCCCAAGTCAGGAGCCTCTGGCCTTTGTTAGTCTTGTATCATTTTTAATTTTAATTTCTTGTGTATAATTTGGAGTTTAGTATGACATCCATTATCACTGAACTAGTATACATATTTGTTAGGGGCCAGCAGAAGGACGCCTCCGGGTGCGGGAGTTTCTCACTGCATTGAAGACCCATTGGTGGCCTTCGGCTGTTGTCTGCTCTATGGTCGGGTTGTTGTCTCTTTGACACATTCCCCATTTCCATTCTCAATTTTAGTTGGTAACTTATGAAAACTTGATAAACCAGAAAAATGAGAATTATGGTATAGCAATGGAAAACAGAATTGCAATGAAAAGTAAGGAATTAATTGATAAAAAAATTCACTTGAAATATATTTTCTTTATAGTTGTTGAATGTCCAAATGAAGACTATTTGTACAGTTTATTAAAATCAGAGAAGTTATCAGAATGTCAAGGTGACAATGACAATTCAGCTGAATTAGTGGTACACATGTCATCATATGACATGGTCAATAATCCACAATATCAACAGTTTATACAGAGGTAACTATGTAAATGAACAATGTGGAAAATACTCAATACCAACAGTTTGGGAATTCTCTGACATCTGAAGGTCTTTTTAGTACTTACTTGTCCATGGGATGTTAGAAAGCAGTCCATTTTGAAAATATTGATACAACTACAAACAATGTGTAGAAGGTTGAAATCCTCTTGCCTGCACTTCTGTGTATTGCCATACACTTGTACATGATGTGACATAAACATTGATGTAGGTCTTCAAAGACATTTTGACAGAAAAAGTTAAATATCAATTATACATCAATTTCCAGAAGAAAAATAATGGACATTAGATAGATCTCACTTTTTTGCAGAAAAGTTTTGATATGTAGCATACAAATAATGAACAACATTTTTGACACTGAAAATAATAAGAAACATACATTTCATGACAAATGCTACAATGTCTACAACCCAGTAAGGGAAACAAATCTCAAGGTAAGCAGAAGACCGTAAACAGATAGAAAGTCACCGAACAAAGAGTCACAAGACAGAAAGTAACAAAATTAATAATACAAAACGAGACAACTAATTAATTTACAGTCATTAGAAATATATGAGAAAACTCTTGAAATTATTCCTATTTAAGAATAAATTGATTTTAAATTTTAGTATGGAATTGTTCATGAGCATTGTTGAATGAAGATGTGTCAAATTCAAAATGAAATTTTGTTTTTTTACAAAAAACCTGATTTTCCTTTTAAATTTTAGATTTCCCAGTTCCACAGTTCACATGTTTCTGCATGAGAAAACAAGTAATATGATATCAGAAGGTATGATACAGCTTCAAAGCATACTGAATATGGTTCATCCAGATATATTTCCCAGAATTCATATGTCAAAGCAGCAGACAGAAAATTATCAAATGGAAAATTATATCATGGCTAAACCTTTCATGAGATATTCATACAGACCTAAACTTGGAATATCTGAGTAAGTTATGTAATTGTCTACTGATATTGCAAAGTAAATAAAACCTTTCCCCAAAATCATTTGGTGTTTACCTGGCCATTTTAATTTTTATACGACCGCAAAAAAATTTTGTGGTCGTATATTGGTATGACGTTGGCGTCGTCGTCGTCCGGCGTCGTCATCCGAAGACACATTGGTTTTCGCACTCTAACTTTAGTTTAAGTGAATGGATCTTTTTGAAATTTGACCATAAGGTTAAATACCACAAAAGGAAGGTTGGGATTGATTTTGGGGGTTATGGTACCAACAGTTAAGGAATTAGGGGCCAAAAAGGGGCCAAAAATAAGCATTTTCTAGTTTCCAGACAATAACTGTGGAACGGTGTATGGATCTCTCTGAAATTATACTACAAGTTTCCATACCACAAAGGGATGGTTAGGATTTGCTTTGGGGGGTTATGGCTCAAACCGTTTAGGAATTAGGGGCAAAAAAGGGGGAAAAACAAGGTTGTCCTGGTTAATGGACAAATACTTTAGTACAAAACATAATTTAAAGCAGTGTAAGGGAGATAAATCAAATACATCATTGAAATTATCTCCCTTACACTGCTTTTAAATTATGTATAAAGTAATGGTTAATGAACAATAAAGATAATTTAAAACAGTGTAAGGGAGGTAATCCAAATACAACGTTTTGGTTACTTCCCTTACACTGCTTTTAAATTATGTTTAAAGAAATACATATTTATAAAGGAAGACCAGTAAAAATATCTGCAAATGTTGCATCTTTTTTTTTTACAAAAAAATCCATATGAAAGATTTGACACTATATTTTTAATTCTATTATAAAATAGATTTAGTTAGCACTATGGTAAATTTAAATGGGTAATTATGGTTGCCAACTCCATTGGAAATTTGAATTGAGATTATGACCATATCTTGAGGGAAAGAATTTTTTTGGGGAAAAAGGGGGGGGGGGGGGATAAAAAGAAATTGTGGGGGGTCAATTTTTTCTCATTTCAGATTTCAGAAATTAAAAAGAATTATTCTTCAAATATTATTTTTTTTTCAAATTTCAAATATTGAAAAATTTCAAGAAGTAATCTTTAATTGCACAGTATGGCGCATTAGATTTGTAAAATCTTTGATCACATTTATTTATTTGTTATGCCGAATCTAACAGTGTATTTAGATTTTTAATTTTGTGTCCAGTTTTCAAATTGGTCTACATTAAGGTCCAAAGGGTCCAAAATTAAACTTTGTTTGATTTTAGCAAAAATTGAATATATGAGGTTCTTTGATATGCTGAATCTAAACATGTATTTAGATTTTTGATTTTTGGCCCAGTTTTCAAGTTGGTCCAAATTGGGGTCCAAAATTAAACTTTGTTTGATTTCAACAAAAATTGAATATATGGGGTTCTTTGATATGCTGAATCTAACCATGTATTTAGATTTTTTATTTGTGGACCCCGTTATCAAATTGGTTCATATTGAGGTCAAAAGGATCCAAAATTAAACTTTGTTTGATTTCATCTAAAATTGAATTATTGGGGTTCTTTGATATTCCAAATCTAACCGTGTATTTAGATTTTTAATTTGGGTCCTGTTTTTTAAATTGGTCTACATTAAGGTCCAAAGGGTCCAAAATTAAACTTAGTTTGATTTTAACAAAAATTGAATTCTTGGGGTTCTTTGATATGCTGAATCTAAACATGTGTTTAGATTTTTGATTATGGGCCCAGTTTTCAAGTTGGTCCAAGATAGGGTCCAGTATTTAAACTTTGTTTGATTTCAACAAAAATTGAATATATGGGGTTCTTTGATATGCTGAATCTAACCATGTATTTAGATTTTTTATTTGTGGGCCCCGCTATCAAATTGGTTCATATTGAGGTCAAAAGGGTCTAAAATTAAACTTTGTTTGATTTCATCAAAAATTGAATTATTGGGGTTCTTTGATATGCATAATCTAACCGTGTTTATAGATTTTTAATTTGGGTCCCATTTTTTAAAATTGGTCTTCATTGAGGTCCAAAGGGTCCAAAATTAAACTTAGTTTGATTTTAACAAAAATTGAATTCTTGGGGTTCTTTGATATGCTAAATCTAAACATGTGTTTAGATTTTTGATTATGGACCCAGTTTTCAAGTTGGTCCAAGATAGGGTCCAGTATTTAAACTTTGTTTGATTTCAACAAAAATTGAATATATGGGGTTCTTTGATATGCTGAATCTAAACATGTATTTAGATTTTTGATTATGGGCCCAGTTTTCAAGTTGGTCCAAATTGGGGTCCAAAATTAAACTTTGTTTGATTTCAACAAAAATTGAATATATGAGGTTCTTTGATATGCTGAATCTTACCATGTATTTAGATTTTTTATTTGTGGGCCCCGCTATCAAATTGGTTCATATTGAGGTCAAAAGGGTCTAAAATTAAACTTTGTTTGATTTCATCAAAAATTGAATTATTGGGGTTCTTTGATATGCCAAATCTAACCGTGTTTTTAGATTTTTAATTTGGGTCCCATTTTTTAAAATTGGTCTTCATTGAGGTCCAAAGGGTCCAAAATTAAACTTAGTTTGATTTTAACAAAAATTGAATTCTTAGGGTTCTTTGATATGCTAAATCTAAACATGTGTTTAGATTTTTGATTATGGGCCCAGTTTTCAAGTTGGTCCAAGTTGGGGTCCAAAATTAAACTTTGTTTGATTTCAACAAAAATTGAAAATATGGGGTTCTTTGATATGCTGAATCTAACCATGTATTTTGATTTTGGACATTGGACCATAATAGGTAAATTAAAAAAATTCAAGTTCTTAGACCACATTCTTTCTGTGTCAGAAACCTATGCTGTGTCAAATATTTAATAACAATCCAAATTCAGAGCTGTATCAAGCTTGAATGTTGTGTCCAAACTTGCCCCAACTGTTCAGGGTTCGACCTCTGCGGTCGTATCAAGCTGCGCCCCAGCGAAGCATTTTATTGCAAAGTGGACTGTCCCATTGAATAAGTACAATAGTTCATTCAAAAGGAATATTAAATTTCTACTTGAAAAACCAGGATTTATTTCCTTTGCAATCTTCTTTGTATTTAGTACTGTATCAATTTTCTCTTTAATTGCTTACAATAGAATAGACCCATCTGTGGGTTGTTGGTATCTCCACAAGGAATTCTACAAGTTTTTGCTATATTTTTCAGTTTATTTTAATATCTTTATAGAAAAACGTTTAAGAAAGCATTGCAGTTTCCTCGAGGAAATCTATGAGCAATGCTCCAAAATTGTCATATAAGGAATTATTCTTATAATTTGTCTTTCCAAACTTGGAGTGCTCCAAAAGGATAGACAGTTTCTGCTTCATTTATAGCACCTGTTGTGATGCTCATGGAAAGTGAAAATTTTGTGATAGGTCAAACTCAGTGATGTTACAGTCTTCAGTATTTACATTTAACTGTTATTTGAACCTTGGATTTATTTATCTGGTATTGTATTTAGATTTTAGTTGCTATTGTGTAAAGGGCTAAATGAGACATTGTTTTAAAGGAGTTGGTTCGATAACACACTAAAACGGCCCCTATTTCTAGCTACAATTTCAAATTAGCATTTATTGACCAATATCACAATGAATCATAGCTCATACAATGACTAGATAGAAAATATGTCTTTTTGTTGAAAATTTACCTACTTGCGTTCTATTCATGACGTCACGAATAGCACTCATTTTGATTTTCAATGAAAATTCAATGAAAACAGGTAAATTTCCAATGATTTTTTGGACAGGAAACATAGAATGCATGCGTCGACAAAAAAGCTTTTTTTATCAAAATGTTTGTTATCACATTTTACATATCTGACTTGAATATTTAGTTTGTCTAAGCCTGCGCTCTATGTTTTCTAGGCCTTAACTTGTTTGAAATCTGGATGATTTGGTCAAATTTCGCAAAAATCTCTATTTTTGACCTTTTTGGGATGTAAAAATCAACGCTTTAAATCTAAAACTTTGACAAATAAAGTTCTTTTCAACTTTCTCACATGTTTTTTTATCACTTTAAAACATTTATTATCTTGAAACATTAAACTTAATAATTGGGGCCAAATATGACCCTTACCGAACTTACTCCTTTGATATTTAAAAAAAAAACGTTTTACTGATTTTAAAAGCTTTGCATTCTTCATATTTTTCCTATATCATGTCCCATTATTTTGATTAAATGAACCATACTAGAAATTTGATTATATGGTTAAATCATATTTCAATAGTATTAGCATATTACACTTATAGTTAACTGTATATTTTCCTATTTGTAGTGAGCTTTGTATATCAGATGATATTGAAAATAAAATGAGAACCAAACTTTCTAAAGATGAGCATTTTATGAAGACTGTAACAGACTATAAATCTTTATTGTCGACTAAACAGTTTGAAAATAACAGTAAGTATTAGATGTAGAAATAAAATTCATATTATTAATTGTATAAAGTTTGTTGTCCTTGTATAAAAGTAAGGAATTATTTCCCCTTTAAAAACAGCTTAACTGACTATTATGGAATAAAATGCCTCTCTGAAAAAATTGCAGGTATTTATAACATGTTAAAATAAACAAATGAAATAATCAAAGAGCATTCTTACAGGAAGTATACAAATATAATATATAAAATATATAGAGTAAGAGATATTTTTAGATCAAGTATTTCAAGGTAAATAATGCTAATAAATGTTTAATTAATTTTCAGAATCTGAGTATCCTGAGGTTGCATTTTTAGGAACAGGCTCTGGGTTTCCAGGAAAATTTCGAAATGTGACTAGTTTTTTAATTAATATGAAGTAAGTTTCGTATGTAATGTATACATAAGGAAATGTTGGGTAGTTACAATGAGATAGAAAACCTCCAATGATCATGAGTTAACATTCAAAAGCCTCTGCATAGACTATAAACAATAAGATTGTTTCCATGCTGCCTTATAAGCTTGAAAAGGATGAAAACAATTACGATATACAGTTCAAAGAAATAAAAGGGTTTCAGATTTGGACATGAAAACATATACAGTGTTAGAGTTTAAGGGGAGGTTAATTTAGCTTACCAATGAATTTCATTTGAAAAATGGAATCTTTTGCAGTTAATTAACATTCCTTTTAATTAAGTCACTTTTAAACACAAGATTCCAATTTCCATTTTTGTCGAGCCTTCTACTTTATTCGAAAAAGCGAGACATAGCGATCCTACATTCTGTCAGCGTCGTCCACAAATATTCACTCTGTGGTTAAAGTTTTTGAAATTTTAATAACTTTCTTAAACTATCCTGGATTTCTACCAAACTTGGACAGAAGCTTGTTTATGATCATAAGATAGTATCCAGAGGTAAATTTTGTAAAAATAAAATTCCTGTTTTTCCGTATTTTACTTGTAAATGGACTTAGTTTTTCTGACGGGAAACATTACATTCACTCTGTGGTTAAAGTTTTTAAAATTTTAATAAATTTCTTAAACTATCCTGGATTTGTACCAAACTTGGACAGAAGCTTGTTTATGATCATAAGATAGTATCCAGAAGTAAATTTGTTAAAAAATGTTTTTTATTTTTTCCGTATTTTACTTATAAATGGGCTTAGTTTTTCTGCCAGGAAACAATACATTCACTCTGTGGTTAAAGTTTTTAAAATTTTAATAACTTTCTTAAACAATCCTGGATTTGTACCAAACTTGGACAGAAGCTTGTTTATTATCAAAAGCTAGTATCTAGAAGGAAATTTTGTTAAAATTTTGTACCTGTTTATCCGTATTTTACTTATAAATGGAATTAGTTTTTCTTCCAGTTAACATTAAATACAGTCTGCAGTTAAAGTTTTTAAAACATTTATTAGATTCATAAACTATCCTGGATTTATACCAAACTTTGACAGAAGCTTCTTACAATCAAAAGATAGTATCTAAAGGAATATTTTTATTGATTTTTTTCCTCATTTTTGTTGAGCCTGCGATTAACAGCAAAAGTAGGCGAGACACTGGGTTCCGTGAAACCCTTACGAATTTTATGAATGAACTGCCCCCAGTTGACCTGAGGTCAATCCAGAGAAACATGACATTGGACATTGTGACATGAAGATACTTGCTTTGTGAGGTCAAATTTTTTTCAATAAAAAGCACCAGTTGGAAGATCATGCATAGCACTTACAGTTATATACATGTACATATCACATTAAAGCAACTTTGGAACTCTTCTGGAAAAAGGAAGAGATATACAAAAAGATATCTATAAGATGAAAAATGATACAAAATGGATAAGAAATCTGATAATGTTAACTGAAAAAATAACTTACATGGTGTGATTGGTGTAAGAACCTTGTAGCCTCTAGTTGAACTTAAGCATGAATAAAAATAATTTCAGCATAATTTTACATTTGTAAACTTAATTAAATTTGAATTATGTGTTGTTATAATTAAGTTAAACGTCTTTTGATTTCAGTGAAGAAACAAGTATTCTAATGGACTGTGGGGATGGTACTATTAATCAGCTGTACATGATGTATGGAGATAAAACTGATGAAATATTGATAAGCATGAACTGTATATATATCTCTCACCTTCATGCTGACCACCATTTAGTATGTATATTCCAGTGTTGCTAATACTTATCATATTTTCCCATATGAAAGATATGGTTAGAAATATTATAATTTAGATGAAATCAGTCAAATGTCTGTAAAACAAAGTCGTATAGTTTTGAATCAAATTGGCCCTAAAGAAAAAATATAGAAAAAATTCTCCAGTTTGCCTTATTATAAGTTAAATCTTTGCTCTTCAATATAACATTGTCTTTTTTGTTTGAAATATTCCTTTTCATGATTGTAAAGTCAGTGAAACAGATATTGTGACCTTTTGACTCACACATACTGAGAAGTAATACAAAAGATTTTTCTGTAAAGGGGTCAACGTATATTTGTTCCGCCTAACAGAAGTTCCTCTGGAAACTTTGTTATAAACAATGTCAGAATATCTGTTCCTGTTGGAACAAATATTCTATACCCTATATTCCGTAAGGAACAAATACTGTAATATTTGTTCCAATGGAAACAATATTACAGAATATTTCTTCCACTCGGGACTTACATTATGAAGGAACTTCTATTCCGTGACAAAGGCCTGTACAGAGTTAATGGAACAAACAGTTGTTTATTCGGTAATAATATTCCATTTTGTAGTTATTGGTATGTTATTTATATAAAGAAAACAATTATGATATTGATTGGAATAAGAAACTCTTTTTTACAGGGATTAACTGGTATATTACTTGCAAGGAAAGCAGCATTAGAACGAGCTGGGAAGAAATATACTAAAGTTTATCTATTAGCACCAATCAGAATTAAAAGATGGCTTCACATAATAATTGATAAAACACTTCATATGAAATATTATGAATTAATACAGTAAGTAGCTTAATATTTCCATGCCATAAAGTAAGAGAGGCATTAAGAGATAACATTGTCCATTCTTCCTTAAGTCTGTCTGAAGTGTTTTGATTTTCTTTTGATAAGTTAAACTATCATTGTCCAATCTTTGGATTTTAAAATGTTGTTCAAGACCATCATTGAACACAGGGTTTAGTTCAACTATAAAGACATATTCATGAATATGTCTCTTGATCATTGCAATGAGTGGCACCTTTTAAGGATTTAGTTAACCTTTGACCAAATCATTTGAAATTTTGATTGATTATTGTTCATTTTCTGTATGATAAATATTTCTCACATATTAAAATCAATCAATTTTCAAATTGGACATTGAACACAGGTAAAAACTTCCAACATACTTTATAGTTTTAGTTCAGAGCACGCTATTTTATGCCCTCCCTCAACTCTCAATATGTTATGAATACAAACTCATGTTTTAAGACCATATCATAAGCTTTAGTTGTTTCCTACTTACAAAATGTATTTGTTTTTTTTGGTGTTGAACATCTACATTACAATAATTTAGCTTTGCATCTCTTGTCTTTGAGGAGAAAATTGAAACTTCAGTTTTATATTCAAAAACTTGACTACTTAGCTTTTCAACCAAATATTTTTGACTTATAACAAAATGTTAAGGACTATAAAACACATCAGTCATGACTTATCTCCTCTTTAAGCCTTATGTAAGGTTATTTCCATTTAGTCACATTTGCTTCACTACTAATTTAAAGTCATTTTTAGCTCACCTGGCATCTGTTGTCCGTCATTGTCCATCATCCATTAACATTTACAAAAATCTTCTATGAAACTACTGGGCAAAATATAACCAAACTTGGCCACAAGCATCATAGGGATATCTAATTTAAAAAATGTGCAAAATATTATTGGACAATTCTGCTTTTATAAATGTTTGAAACAAAAAAAATCATATTTTGATTTTTTTTGTCAACTTCATAGCTAATGCCTCTTTTAAAATGTGTTTCACATGTTTCTAAAAAGGATGTAATTTTTCACAAGTATTTCAACCACATGTATGTTGAATTTGATAATCTTTTTGAGACAAGTAATTGACAAGTGATGAGTTGTATTAAACTTTATTTTCTCATCATTTTAGGTTTGTACCTAATGAAGCTTTCATGAGAGAACCATATAGACCAGCTGACTATAAAGAGGAACAGAATCCAGTATTATGTCAGACTGTCAGATCATTGTTGAACTGTAAAGAGGTACATAATTACATTTAATTAAAGTGGACAAATTAAACTCTTAGTGGAGAGCTGTCTCATTGGCAATCATACCGCATCTTCTTATTTTAAAAAAAAATAAAAAAGATGTTGCAGTTTTGGAACCTTTTGTTGATGATGTCTATCATTTGTCAGTGTAAATTGTGAGGATGCTGAGATTTGGCACATAATTTACAAAGACATTTTAATTTACAAATGTGTGTATTGTCTTGTTGCCTGAACAATCATTTTGCAATATTTTATAGATTCTCTGGTATAACATCAGAATACCAGAAGAATGAATCTCTAGCTTTTTAAAAGTCAAATTATATTATTCAGGGAAATGATTCAAAAGGCACATATACATGTACAGTTAAAAGGCTTGTATAGTCTGCGGTTTTATTCTCCAAAATTGACCCTGACAGCAGGGGTGCAGACTATAGAGTACAATAAGCAAGAAATAAGAGAGAAAATTTCAATTTCGCGATGTGGTTTGTTTACGTCCCGCCATGTTTGTTATTGACATTATAGAGGGCGCTCTTTTCATTTTTCAAACCAATAATTTTACCCAATCCATATTAATAAGTTATTTTTATTCAATATCAAATTTAAAAATTAAATGCTTCATTACAAAATTCTCGTTTCTTTTCAATGCATTACTAAATTTAAACTGATATCTGCCTGAATGAAATCGTACAAAAAAGGTAAAGAAAGACAACCGTAAACCAGCTTACGATGTGTAAACTACAAAACGTAATCGGTTATTATTTGTTCCGTTTTGGTGTTTCCTATTGACAAATATGTTTTGTATTAGCTAAGACCCTTCAAACATTAATGTGATAGATATATTAAACACTGTTTTACATAAGGAGGGAACTGTTTTACCTTCCAAGTCGTATTATAGTGATATCTATTATGTACGGATTTCGACTCTCACCGGGTTTTTTCATCTTTACACGTGCTTTTCAAACTTCCGGTTTAAACATACACAAGTTTCTAAATTGTTTTTATGTGTGATTTAGACCTATTTTAATCAGCTTGAAGTGTTTTAGAACTTTTTACAAGCAGTTTCAGCTTCTGTTTGGTGATGGAAAATAGGTTTTTCCAAGAAAATACTGCAAACAACCACACACGATTTAAAATTACTGGAGTTTCATTAGCCCTTTTCTAACAGTTACAAAAAGTTTTTTTACCAGAAATTTCGTGGGGAGAAGGGGGTGCGGACTATGTACCAGTGCGAACTATACAAGCCTGATTACGGTAACTGATTTTATCAAGAGAAATATTTAGATTTTTTTATTCAGTAAGTAGTGCTCATTGCTCATTTATGAACAGGTTGCTAGGCGTTTCCAAACTTCCTCTATCAACATGTGTGCCAATCCTGGATCATATCTAGAACTTTGACTTAGTGAATAGGTGTTTTTTTAAAGCATTGCTACAATATGACAAATAAAGTTAAAAGTTTGTCTATAGTTTCTATTATGAACGAACGTTTTGCCATGATCATCAATGTACAGTTTTCAACCGTGTTCACAACACACCTTCTAGTAGTGGTGAATAATCATGCCAAGTTTCATCCCAAAACTCCAAGGGGTTTTAAAGTTAAATAGCAGAAATGATTTTCGTACAGATGCACAGGTGGTAATGTAGTGAATTAAGTTTTTAGCCATGACTTTCAATAATCACTATAAAGTAAGAAGATGTGGTATGATTGCCAATGAGACAATTATCCAACAGAGCTATGCCAAGTTTAATCTCTGTAGATTTTTAGGGCAGAAATTGACTCAATTCATATATTTTTTATTTGATATTTTAGGAAACTTCAAGAAACTTTTTCTTTATCTTAATGTACCATATTCAAATGAAATACTTATGGGGTTAATAATAGAGTGTGAATTGATCTGTTTGCAGATTGTAGCAGTTCCTGTCGCTCATTATGCATGTGCAACTGGAGTATCTTTGGTTCATAATTCTGGATGGAAAATAGTTTATTCAGGAGATACCATGCCTTGCCAATCACTTGTGGAAGCAGGTATGTATTTTTTCAATATTGACAATACTTATTATTAAATTACTTTATTAAACTTGGATACCTATATGGAGTTATTTTCTTTCAAAATGGCAGGTCATTCTTTTGGAGAAACAACCTAAACAATACCAAGTTTCAATGAAAAGTGCTTTTAAGGCATAAAATAATGACCTGTGTAAGGTTGTTATTTCCCCTGATAAAAATGCAAACATGGAAATGGAAAAAGGGTGAAGGTTTGGTACCATTAAAACATTTAAACCCGCTGCATTTGTTTGCACCTGTCCTAAGTCAGGAATCTGATGTTCAGTAGTTGTCGTTTGTTGATGTGGTTCATAAGTGTTTCTTGTTACTCGTTTTTTATATAGATTAGACCATTGGTTTTCCCGTTTGAATGGTTTTACACTAGTAATTTTTGGGGGCCCTTTATAGCTTACTGTTCGGTGTGAGCCAAGGCTCTGTGTTGAAGACGGTACTGTGACCTATAATGGTTTACTTTTATAAATTTTGACTTTGATGGAGAGTTGTCTCATTGGCACTCATACCACATCTTCTTATATCTATAAACAGCAGTTTACTAAATCATTTAATTCTTTTGGTAGTTATCCTGTGTTGTTGCCTACAGTCTGTCTTTAATTTGATCAATCCTGACACCCTTCGTTGTGTCATAAGACAAGAAAAACCTTAAAATATGCATTCTCTATAACATAATCATGAGAAAAATATTAGATTAAAGTTTAAAATTCATTATACCCTTACAGCATGGGAAAAATAAAACACACTTTAAGTAAATTGTATAGCTCTATTTAACTCTGATAGAATATATATTTCAAGAGCAAGAGTCAGCATAACAATTCAGTAATTAATATTATAAGTTATTTTCAGGTAAAGATTGTGATTTGTTAATCCATGAGGCTACTTTACAGTCAGATATGGCTGAAACAGCTCAAGAATTACAACACAGGTATGAATCAAAATGTCTAAGCAGTAATTTATTAAATTATGATTCTGCTATAAATGAAAGGAATAGTTTAATTTATGGCAATATGACTGCAACCCAAAATTAGATTAAACCAGAATATTTTTATGTGTGATAATAATAAAATTCTTTAACTCAATGTATTAAATATTATTTTAAAAAGAATAAGAATTGCTTATATTTTTCAAACAGTATACTTTGATAATTGATGCTAATTGCACCACCACTACCTAGGAAACTGTACAACAGCACGAACAAATAGAAATTTATACTTAGAACAAATATAAAAAAGTATCATACTTTTCCAATATTTTACAATACATACATATAAAAACAAGAGTGCACACGCTGAAATGTCTCACCTTCTTTACTAATCATTGATATTATGTTGATAGTCCTAAATATAAAGCTTTATTACAACTGTCACATAAATTTAACATTAACCAAGTAAACTAAATATTGACCAATGAACCATGAAAATGAGGTCAAGGTCAGATGAACCATGCTAGGCAGGCATGTACAGCTAACAATTCTTCTATACAACAAATACAGTTGACCTATTGCTTATAGTTTAAGAAAAACAGACCTAAACACAAAAACTTAACACTGAGCAATGAACCTTGAAAATGAGGTCAAGGTCAAATAAAACTTGCGTGACTGACAAAGAGATCATAAAATATTTCCATACACCAAATATAGTTGAACTATTGCATATAGTATTAGAAAAAAAGACCAAAACTCAAAAACTTAACTTTGACCACTGAACCATGAAAATGAGGTCAAGGTCAGATGACACCTGCCCGCTAGACATGTACAACTTACAATCATTCCATACACCAAATATAGAAGACCTATTGCATACAGTATAAGAAAAACAGACCTAAACACAAAAACTTAACACTGAGCAATGAACCTTGAAAATGAGGTCAAGGTCAAATAAAACTTGCGTGACTGACAAAGAGATCATAAAATATTTCCATACACCAAATATAGTTGAACTATTGCATATAGTATTAGAAAAAAAGACCAAAACTCAAAAACTTAACTTTGACCACTGAACCATGAAAATGAGGTCAAGGTCAGATGACACCTGCCCGCTAGACATGTACAACTTACAATCATTCCATACACCAAATATAGAAGACCTATTGCATACAGTATAAGAAAAACAGACCAAAACACAAAAACTTAACTATAACCACTGAACCATGAAAATGAGGTTAAGGTTAGATGACACCTGCCCGCTAGACATGTACACCTTACAATCATTCCATACACCAAATATGAAAGACCTATTGCATACAGTATAAGAAAAACAGACCAAAACACAAAAACTTAACTATAACCACTGAACCATGAAAATGAGGTCAAGGTCAGATGACACCTGTCAGTTGGACATGTACACCTTACAGTCCTTCCATACACCGAATATACTAGACCTATTGCTTATAGTATCTGAGATATGGACTTGACCACCAAAACTTAACCTTGTTCACTGGTCCATGAAAACTGTCTGACGAGCATGAGGACCTTGCAAGGTACGCACATACCAAATATAGTTATCCTATTACTTATGATAAGAGAGAATTTAACATTACAAAAAATCTTAACTTTTTTTTCAAGTAGTCACTGAACCATGAAAATGAGGTCAAGGACATTGGACATGTGACTGGCGGAAACTTCGTAACATGAGGCATCCATATACAAAGTATGAAGCATCCAGACCTTCCACCTTCTAAAATATAAAGCTTTTAAGAAGTTAGCCAACGCCGCCGCCGCCGCCGCTGGATCACTATCCCTATGTCGAGCTTTCTGCAACAAAAGTCGCAGGCTCGACAAAAACCACACAAAAACTCAAAAGCTTTACACAAAAAAAAAGAAAAGTACAAATTACTATCTTGTTAACAAGATCACCAACAAGGTACACTGCACAATAAGAATAAGTGGCTGTAGGAATGATAAGCAACATAATGAATAGTTCTCAAAGAATAATTTCATTTGTATAGTACTTATTACTTGTCTCATTTTGATCAAAATATCTTTTTAGCACTGTGAAACAAGCACTTGACATAGGAAATAAGATGCAGGCAAAATATCAAATATTGACACACTTTAGCCAAAGATATCATAGAATGCCACTTATTGAAGACAATTCATACCATAATAGATTTGGACTGGCATATGACCTTATGAAGGTAATGAACTCAGATACGAGACATATTGCTTTTGAATTAAACACATGATCATTGGTCAAAACTCTATTAGGTATGACAGTTTCATTAATATGCTTGTTTATACAGTCACTGGTTTCCCTGAATGTGACCTACTGAATTAAACTTATCACTGGGTTTGTACTAACATGATCAGCACAACAGATGCCACATGTGGAGCAGGATCTGCTTATCCTTGCGGAGTACCCGAGATTACCCCCAGTTCGAGTTGCTCAGTCTTTAGTTTTCTATGTAGTGTTTTGTGTCCTGTTCTTTGTCTGTTGGTGTTTTTTTTCTTTTTTAGTCATGGCATTGTCAGTTTATTTGTGACTTATGAGTTTGAATGTCACTTTGGTATCTTTCGCCTCTCTCTTGAAAGCAAGTACACCTCGGGAATGTAATTAAATCTACTTGGTCGGCCTCATTCCCAAATTCAGAAAAATTCTTTACCCTATGATCCAGCTTTATAAAATAAGGAGTTGTGGTATGATTGCCATTGAGACAACTATCCAACAGTGTTCAAATATCATAGATATATGCAAATATATGCAACCACACAGCCTTCAACAATGAGATAAATCCATACCAGATAGTTAGAAATAAAAGGCCCTGACATGAAACATGTGAAACAATTCAAACAAGCAAACTAACAGCCTAATTACAATTTATGGAAAAAACAAATATGACAGACATGAACCAAAGACAACCTTGCATTTTAATTTGAATCTATGCCAGTTTAAGTCTGGAAACAACAAAACAATTCTCAACTGTTTACACCTGCTTAATTTAATATGCTAGTGATTTATGTATTCCATATTGACATATTGGTTAAAAGATGTTTTAAATTGTGCATAGTCATTTTATAGAAACTAAAGGCAAGGTTATATTAAATAAAATCCTTGCAACATTTTCATTAGCAACTTCAATATTTATAAAGCCAATTTAAACAAAAATTTTGGCTTCATTATCAGATCAATGGTATGAAATAACTTTAACATTGAACATGTCTCAGGCTCTGTAAAGATGCACGACAAGTTGACAAAAATTCATTTGGTTAACATTGCTGTGAAATGCCATATTCAATGGAAAGCTCAGATTACTGTGGATTTATGTATCTTCATTTGTACTAATTTTTGTGGATTGAGGAACAATGGTTTTTTTGTGGATATTTGATTTTGTGGATTTGCCAAAGTCTGCATACAAAGCCATAGATAATAGGCACTTTGTTGAACATCTGTATTTATAGTTTACTTATACCCACAAAATCCACAAATATTGATATCCCACGAACATTAAAGAATCCACAGCATGTCAGATTAAGCATTATATCTGTGATGAGTGTGTCTAAATTGACCTTTACCAGTTTTTACACTGCAATGGTCTATTCTCAGAAATTTTACAATTTAGGTTAACAATATGCATGCGCATCCAACAGTTTTATTTGACCATGACCTAATTTAGACATACGGTATTTATAGCATTTTTTTAGTCCCCTACCGAAGAAGTTGAAGGGCACTTTAGGTTTGCACTCCCGTCTGTCTGTCCATCTGTCAGTCCGGCAAATCAGTTTTCCAGACTTTTTTCTTCGTGCTTGAAGCAGGGCTTCCAAAATTTCCTGACGACAGCCGGACATTTTTCAAAGAAATATTTTTGATGGTCAATGATCATCTGGATACTTAAATGTAACTGAGAGGATGCATAAATTGATATATGTGTCTAAATAATTAGTAGTGTTATATGCAATAAAATTATTTATAACTGTTTTGTTTTCTTCATTCTAAAAATAAATAAAATATTATCCTCGGTATTGTGTCATTTTTCTGTGTATCGTAATACAGTAACCATCATTGCATCAATCAGCTTCAGTACCTGACTGTTCTCATGTTTTTGTTTTTGTTTCTGTTTATATAATCTATCTTCTCTCTGTGAGTACTTAACACTTTGTAAATTAAGGCCATCTTATTTGAAACTGTTGATGTTGGCTTTAATTGCAGTACAACTTGATCATCAATACACGTGATACTTTTCTTTTTGTGTATTGATTACCTGACCACGTGACTTTTACAACTGATGCGGTATTTATAGATAACATTGAGGAGGCCCAATGAAGGATATTGTTTTAAACCGTGTAAAATCTACTGAACAGTGATAACATTTTTCTTTGTACAATTTCCCAACCTGATTTAGAAAATAAGGAATAAATAAAAACATACTCAGTTGATAAATAATTTAATGAATAACAACATGATATTTTATGTAAGCATATAACAACGTTTGCCCATGATGGCAGATTTGTAAAGTTCAATTTGAAACAAAGTCTTTATAACAGTCGGAGATTGTCATGATTGGATATTATTCTTTATGATTTTAATTATAAAAACAGTTTTTAATATGAAAACAAGAATAGAGAACGCCCCCCTTATTTATTGGACAACTCAGCTTGGTATACCCATGGAAGTATTATATTGACAGGAGTCAATATAATACTTCCATGGTATACCCAAGCGAAGCTATTCTCGGTGTTTTTCCTATATATTTTAGTAAATTTTCCCCTTGAGAGTACCCCAGTATTTAACACGATGTACAGTGTTAAATAAAATAATATATATCATACTTATTCATTTATAAATATCCTTATTTGAAGAATAACTTTTAAATATCAGGATACTTTTTTAAACTGAATGCTCATTTAAAATAATATCTATAAAGCGTAATTAAATAGGATGTTGTTCCATACACGCTTACATGTTTGACCTCGTTTACCTGATTACCTTTATGTACATTGTTATGCATCATTAATTCTATTGATAAAGACAAGCTAAGGACACCTCATCAAAGGTAACAAACCTGTAATCAGTGAATGATTTATGGCTTCAATATAACTTATTGAAGGGATAATTGTTTGACAGCTTGTTGTTATTTAAATAAAAGAAAACGTGTTTTTTCTACTTTTTATTGATGTACACAAGCTAAAGACCAAGCCGTACATTTATGTACCCAGAGGATTAGACTAACTGAGACACTTCAAAGTATCTGAAATATGCTGCTTCTGTTTTATTAAACCCAATTATGACCGAAATATCTTTGTGAAATAGATTGCCACAATTATAAACTAAAATGCCCAAACGGACATGCCCAAAGCTCCAAACGGACATTTTTATCGATCGATAGTTGGTAAAAATTGAAATGACCGTTTCATGAAAATGCCTTGAATGACAAAATGTGGCACACCAATTCTATTTGACCGTTTGAGACTGAGAGCAGCCGGTCTTTTTATGAAAGTTTCGGTCAAGTCCGGAATATATGACCGTTTTGGAAGCCCTGGCTTGAAGATATTGATTTGATATTTGGTTTATTGTTTTATCATGACAAGTTACAGGTCAAGTTCAATTTTCACGATTTTAGCATTTCTCTTTGTTCAGTTAAAGCCGTTTCCTTAGAATTAAATTTTTGATGAAATACTTATTAATTAGTAGATTTCTGTTCAAAGGGAAATAACTCATTTAAAAAAAAGAAAATTAAAAGACGAAATGACATTTTGGATTTTTTTCCTGGTCTTTGGTAAATTGTTTGAAGAATTTAGTGGTAAAATTGAGAATGGAAATGGGGAATGGTAGTTTGTTTGTCATTCTTGAAGATATTGATTTGATATTTGGTTTATTGTTTTATCATGACAAGTTACAGGTAAAGTTCAATTTTCACGATTTTAGCATTTCTCTTTGTTCAGTTAAAGCCGTTTCCTTAGAATTAAATTTTTGATGAAATACTTATTAATTAGTAGATTTCTGTTCAAAGGGAAATAACTCATTTAAAAAAAAGAAAATTAAAAGACGAAATTACATTTTGGATTTTTTTCCTGGTCTTTGGTAAATTGTTTGAAGAATTTAGTGGTAAAATTGAGAATGGAAATGGGGAATGGTAGTTTGTTTGTCATTCTTGAAGATATTGATTTGATAATTAGTATATAGTTTTATCATGACAAGTTACAGATCAAGTTGGAATTTTGTTCCGGTCTATTGATTTTGTGCAGAGTTATGGTTTTTGGACATAGAAAATCACTTAAATAATCAGTTTTAAACAGTTTTTTTTGTCATGCTTGAAGATTTTGACTTGATATTTTTATGTAGTTTACACCATGACAAGTTATAGATCAAGTTAGAATTTCGTTCCATTACAATGAATTTTTAACCGGTAGCGGACTATGTATTGCCATGCAATACTCACAGAATGCTTATTATAATGCTGTTTTATAAATGAAAAGTAAAAGGTGTATTTTGTGTTTCTTGTATTCAAGGCAATTTGTCTTGTAAAAAATTGCTGTCCACATAATCTTTGTTGCAGTCAGAATTTCATGTCTTACATGTATAATAGCTTTGCTTTGCATTCTTTTCAGGTAAAACTAAGTGAACTGAGTGTTTTGTATGATATGATTGATCCACTGAAAGAAATTTTCCATGAGGATATTGATCTTGTGATGCAAGTACATACAAGGAAGAAGAAAAGATCTAAGCTGATCAAAGAAATATCTCAAAATTTGTTGAAAGAAAAAAGTTGAAACAAGTGTTCAGTACGAAGAGAAAGAGAGAAATTCCATAAATCATGAAGTAAATTGAACAAAAATAATGTGTACAATGGCATACAATATAAGCATATGCAGGTAGACTTACAGGGATGATTTAAAAGGCATGTGGTTTTATGAGATTATATGTTTTATATGCATTAGTTGATCATCAATATAAGATTGTCACAACCATTCCTGATCTCATGGTACAAAAGTCAGTAGACATTCTACGTTGCACAGAAGGTTCTTGGAATAACCACAGTTACATTTCTGTTGTATAGCTGAAGAAGCTGACAAATTGGATGGCACAGGCAAAACTAAAATGAAAATTTTTATGAAAGTTCTACTGTTTATGTGTTATGTTTTTTATATTAAAAATTATTTGTTTTATTTGTAGTCAATATTATACAAATTCCTGTTTGTTTCAATACTTTGAAAGTGTTTTTCTCACTAGGAATAGAAGTAGAGAAAAGTGATAAACAGAAAAAGGTAAGAAAATATAAAATGGTGACAAAAACTATTTTTAAAAAAGCCAGAACACAAAAACACAAAACACTCTACAGAAAGCTATATATTGAGAAACATGAACCCTACAAAAAACAATGGTTGAACTTAGGTGCTTTGGAAAAGCAGTTCTTGCTCCACTGAAGGCATTTATTGTGTAAGGGAATTGTACTTCTGCTCTACTGCAGTTGAGTTAAACAGACTTAATAAGAACACCGCTGACGCACAAAAGTTCTTGCTCCACTGAAGGCATTTATTGTGTAAGGGAATTGTACTTCTGCTCTACTGCAGTTGAGTTAAACAGACTTAATAAGAACACCGCTGACGCACAAAAGTTCTTTCCCACTAAATCTACTTCGGCACTATACTGGAACCTGTTTTGTAAAGTAAAATTTTGGTGGCTATGACAAATATACATTGCATCCTTAGAAGTAAACCTGATTCGAGTTTCCAATACCTTTCTGTGCTTGAATGACAGGTTATATCTTCACCTTTTAATCTCAATTTGACATTAAGAATGGTATACCTGGTATATGATTGATTGATTGATTGTTGGTTGCTTAACGTCCAGTGGCAAATATTTCATGCATATTCAGGACGAGAACAAGTTAACAATTAATACAATAGGTAGGTTCTGTAATAGGGGCGTCCGGGATTAAGGTGGGAGAAATTTAGACTGCCACGGGAAATGAGGGTATATTGGATAGGGACAGAAATTTAGCCTTGCAACAGGTCACCTACGGACCCCTCAAAGAGTTGTTGCAAGGGTTCTTAACATGCAAAGAGCGTGGCACTCTCTTTACACGAGGCATCGGATTTAACGTCCCCATTCTGACCGGACGTGGCTGCAAATTTGTACATCCCGAACAGCCAAACGGACGCCCCACTTTAGCAAGGGTTTTACTGCCGGTCGGAGGAAGACCAATGGTGACCATACTTCTATTCCCCAGTCACCCTTGGGGGTATACCTGGTATATCCAGGACATTTTACCTGGTTATAATCTTGCTAAAGTGTAGGGTATAGAGGTAATAAAAAGTCACCAAAGATACCAAACTGTTGGAGACGGTATCAGATTATACAAACCAACATGGTTAACATTTATAAAAATACAAGTATATGATAGTTTCATAATATTTGCATTGCATCAAATTTCCTCCATCAAAGTTACAAAATAAAATACCCAAGAAACTACATACCTCCACAGATGTATTCAATGCAAAATATGAAATCAACCATATAGTACACAAATCACAGAATTTCCTGAAGCATTTAGAATGTAGGAATGCTAAAAGGGGCACTAGCTGTCAAATTCATGTTAAACAATTTGACTCAAATTCTCATATTTGATTTATAACATACTAAAACGTATATCCAAATTACAAAATGTCTAAAATAAACAATTAACAATGCATGAAGTCGATAATATGTATTAACATTTCGTGTGTATTTTTTACTAGATGTCATCTAATTAACCATCGAGATGACCTATGAAGACTGCTGATTGTCATATAACCCAATATAAACATTAATATAAATATAACTAGAGGCTCTAAAGAGCCTGTGTCGCTCACCTTGGTCTATGTGTATATTCAACAAAGGACACTCTCCAACATTGTAGACGAAAATAGAATTCATGACAAAATAAATCCTTATTGAAGGGCAATCACTCCTATAAAGAGTGACAGTCTACTACCTAGATCGGTAAAATTTGACTTGTTAGTAGAGCCATCTTGGTTGGCAGGTGGGGTCATCGACACATTTTTTAAACTAGATACCCCAATGATGACTGTTGCTGAGTTTTGGTTAAATTTGGCCCAGTAGTTTCAGAGAAGATTGTTGTAAAAGTTAACAGACAACAATGGACAAGGGACGCCAAGTGATGAGAAAAGCTTACATGGCTCTTTGGGCCAGATGAGCTAAAAAAAGATAGCGACCACATGCAATTGGATTTTTCTAGGTCTGCTTGATTTCATATTGTTGGTTAAAAAGTATGTTTACCATCGTTTTTACCTGTATGAGAATGATTTTTTTTGTGTGGATCATATCAGTCAACCAAATGGTTCATCCTTGTTTCACTTTCAATGTTTACATTCTTTTCTTTTTAATAGCTGAATACATGCGTAACCTCTCGCCAGCTGGTCACATAAATATGGATTCAACGAGGTCGAATTAATTACTTGCAAGTGAATAATTCATCAGCCATGTTTCTGAGCTTATAGTGAATTATATCACTATTTCACTTTCATTATTGATCAAAGAAAAAAAATATCATATTTTAATTTTTTGTATATCTCGTAGCTAATGCCCCTTTAACCAGAATTTGGGTTCAAGGCTTAGAAAAGAAAAAAACACTTGAATTAGAGCTATAAATACACATCTATTGATAAAAAGACATGACATTTACAAACGTTCTACAAAAATATAAATCTCTGAGAAATAATAATTCTGTAAATTAGGAAAAAAATTATATATAACAAAAATCATCAACTTAATTCCATGCTTTTAAATTGATATCAATTATTAATATGAATGCATAACTTATGTTACTTATTAAGCTTATGTACTCTAATCAGAGTATAATACTTGTCTTGCCAAGTTTGATCTCTAGATGTCTTTTGGTTTTTAGTGTTATTTGGTTTCCTGTCTCACTGAAGTACACACCACATTCAATTAGAAATTTTGAGTACAGAATATTTCTCATAATTTGTGTATTCAACCTTTATGTGTTGTGTTAGACAGATTATTGGAAATTAATATGCTGTGAATTCACATTTTCTATGCACTAAAACTTATCTTTTGACATATGCTGGCTGCTAATAATTTTATTGTAAGTTCTATATGGGCACAATTATTTCATGTATATTACTATGGCTGAGCTTATTTCATTTTAATAAAATTTATGGGGATATTGCCGAAATAAGAAAATTCTGTTATGGTTTATTTAGTATTACTGTTTTTATTAAAATTAAAGTGAACATATTTATTGTAATCGAACCTCATTAAAAATAATAATGTCATATTTATGAACTTTGTATTTGCAAAGAAAGAAATGCAGGGAAATACAAATATAACTGAACTCGAAAAAATGTGAGACAGTCCAAAAATAGAAATAATGTTGACCAAATCAGTGATAGTCTTAATTTGTACCATAGTTTTCAAGAGGAAATATTTAAAATGTTACACCATCAGAATCCTGCATGTTCTGTCTACATTATTGTTACAATAAAAAAACTACACACAAAGTAATATGAAATATTGATTGTCACATTCAATACTAGTATATCTGGTTTAAAAACTATCCAATTTCAAAACAAGATATCCATTACAAAAAAGTCATTATGCATTTTATGCTTCCCAACAAAGCATTATTACATATCAATAAATTAAGCTTAAATGGATAAAGGAGCCAAAATGAGTTAACTTTTCAAAGATGTGTACTAGGAGAATGATTAAGGATTGGGTTTGGTCCCAAACTTTAAATAAATTTGAGCATATAGTTTGTCTTGGCATTTTCTTTCCTAATAACTGAAAAAAATCTCTTACTAGTTCTGTGATAAATGTCTGAAATGATCTGACAAAGGTTTAGTTCACAACTGGTAAAGGGTGTAAGCATATGTAATTGATGGGTCTGAGTATACAAAAAGTATATGACCTGAATAAGTGTTTGTTAATAACAATTAATGTTTTGATCTTAATGGCGACATACTGCTCCAAAAAAAAAAACCAAGCCATTTTACACAATAATCAAATTACTAAGAATATTATTCAAGTATAATACCTTAATATAAAACAGGAATTACCAAGAAATATTAGATAGAAGTTTGATTTTAATTGGATCTTTATTATGATAAGCATTATTGTTATTGTTTTATTTTTTTTTTTTTTTTTTTGTACTTATGTCTATTTGTAATCATTATATGTAAAATGCCCGATAATTGTTTGAATAAAGTATTTGTATTTTTTTTTTTTTTTTTTAATATACTACTTTCTTAGTTTTAAAACTTTAAAATTTCTCCATTCAATAAACTTGAAACAGATCCAAACAATACCCAGCATGAAAAGAAAGTTGTCAAACATATAATTTAATAAATGCTTAAATCTGGTCTTGTAAGCACCTCAATAAAACAGACAACTATGCATAATTGGCAGTGCAGAAGCTGGTCAAAAATGTTTTAGCCTATACAACTGCCTTTAATTAAACAAGCTTAATGGGCATTTCTCAAAATGGACAGATTTCATCTCTATACTGTCAATATTTATTTTAAATTATAACTATAACCATAGTGCAAGAGTCAGTATAAAACAAATCCCTTTTGTTAAATTCAAGTCTTTTTACTGCCATAAACAGGAGTTTGATTTTTAGAATCTTTATAAAAGACACATAATTTAAATTTATACAATGTTTTCATGCATGACATTTTAAATTCATAGAAATACAAGAAGTACATGTATGTTTCTTGGTTTATGCTATTTTCATGAAACTTTTTATAAAGCAACATGTTTATAAAGGACAATTATGTGTCCTCTCCTAGCTTTCCTTTATAGAAAGGTTTGACTGTACTTGAGAAATCATCACGAAATACTACATTTTTTACAACTTAACTCTCTCTATAAGTTGAAATTCCATTTTAAGTCACCTCTATCAAGATCACAAAATTCTACATAAGATCTGGAAAATAGAAAGTTGAATATTTTAACAGATTAAAATGCAATAGCAAATAGACTATAAGGGAATGATTGTGTTCTCGTTCTTTTTTTTAATTTATTTTGTTCATTTATATTCTTGGGCAACAATTTTTGTGGATTGAGATAGAATTGTATTTTCCTGGATATTTGCGAATTGATAGCATGGTTTTATCAAAATTCTGCAAACAAATATTTAGGAAATGTTTACTTTGTTGAACACTTAAATTCCTAATCTACCTTATATGACAATAAAATCCAGGAATATTAGTACGAAACATAAAAATAAATCTAGAGTAATAAAACAAAATTATAAATAATGTAGATTGTATAAATAATAGAAAAATAAGAAACTGTCACATGTATAAGTTTGTCAAAGAAACATTTAATATACAAAATGGAAAGATTTTAACAATGGAAATAGTTTCTACAAAAACAGTTGGTAGTCCCTTTGAAATTTAGCAATGAAATATGAAGGTTATCTACAAAATGAAACAAAAACAAGAAACTTGTTACAGAGTTCAATGAAGTTCAAACAAAAAAAAATGTAAATTTGGTTAAAATCATTTTCTGTATGGTACAGATAAGTGTTTTGTTCATGTATTTGATATTTCAATTTTTCAGGTGGTCAGTTTATTAAAGGGGAGGTAAACTGTAGTTGCCAAGATTATTGAAAAAAAAAAAATAATAAAAAAAAATACAAATCACAAGTTAATCATGTTAATAGTTCTCAAATGTTGAGAAAGCTGTTTAAATGTTCCATTTTTAAAATAATGACTTTTGATATTGCTAAACTTTTTGCTACTTTTATTTCAAATTGAATTAAATTTTAATATTTTTTTAAATTAAGCTTGAAATGTACATCAGCACTTAAATGACTTAGTATTCTTTATTGTATACATACCCAGGTTACAATGGGTTTAAAATGGATCATTTAAATATATAAGTAGCAAAAAGTTGAAAAAGCAAGACTGCTCTTGATACATAAAATAAAAAAAAAAAAGAAACTAATTGATCTTATACACGAGTCCTACATAATATTTAATCACAGAACAACAATAGATCTGAACAAGTGCACATACTGGATCACAAGACAGTGATAGATAAACAACACAATCACACAGAAAACATAAGACTCATCTGTATCTTATCTACAGTAGAACATATATTATCTGAACATCTCATCAACAGAAGAACATATATTATCTACATCTTTATACCTACAACTGAATGTCTTGTCTACAGAACAAGAGGATATACTTTCTATATCTTATCCACAGTTGAATATATATTATCCATATCTTATCTATAGTATAGTAGAACACCCATAAAGTATATGTATTTTTCAAGTAAACCCATTTTGCAATCAACAACAAAGAACATTATTAAAATATCCACTATCTAAAAATGGAACATATGATCTGATGAATTTCGGTAGGTTTCTCAAATCCATTTTCCTATTTTATGAAGAAAGGTTTTTTTCAGACAAACAAGTCAATTTAAAACATGTTTTATAATATCAATTGCATATTGCAGTGGGAAGTTTGACAAATGTATAAGACTTATTGTAGAAATTATCAAAATGACAAACATTAATTGTGAGTTGTGGCAGTTTGTTTTTGTTTTTTTTTTTATAAAAAAAACACTTGTGCAGCATTTGTAAACCTGCAATAAGTTATTCAATAACAAATAAATACTAAATATTAATAATTGGATAACAACTTCATTAGTCCTTACAAAAACAAACATTCATATGTGCTCTAATATCTTCGTTGATTTTAAATATTCTCTTCTTCAACAGTGTAGAAGAAGGAATAGACCCCAACATTTGATTGTGTGTAAACAATATACTTACATTGTATATATGTAGGCATAATGCAATATGCTGCTCTTACCAATAAATTTGTCATGGTAGATGGATATTCTGAATTAATTTCAAAGAATCCTGAAACACAGATTTTCTTTTTCGTTTTTTTTTTGTATCTGCTATTTAAAAGTGAGGGGTATAATGATATACTTCTATCCTTCTATCTGTCTGTGCATCCCTTTGTAATTTCCATTTTTTTGGCATTTTCTCAGCAACGACAAATCAGCGCTTCGTGATATTCAGTACCAATCTTCTTATTGGCAAGCCTAACTATGTGAACATTTTTCAGATACATAACTTATATACTCCTTTTTTGCCTCATACTTCAAACAGATGCAAGAACGAAAATGTCCCCAAGAGCCTGGTATAAAAAAGGAAAGCAGTGTCTCACACTACATCTTGATCTATCTAAATAACTTCTGCAAGTTCAAAATCATAGCCATTTTTATATACTAGTTATCTCCCCTTTACCCAGTGAATGGATTTCAATGTTTTTTTTTGTAGAATTTCATTGCATCATGCAACTGCATTTCCTATTTAATCATAATGAATTTCATTGTCCTTTCCGGTAGACCTTCCAATCTACAATGAAGCAGACTGGATTTCTAATAAAAAATAATTACAGTATTTTAATTTAACGATGCCATTTAGCACAGCCTATTAAATGTTTTTTTTTTATCACAATGGTTTTGGAGGTTTTTTTTATATGATGCATAGATAGCCATTTTTTTTAAATGTATTGGAGCATGACATAAGTTTGTAAGCTTTGCCAAGTATATCTAACTTTGTTTTGAACTAAGGTTTTGAATAATTTTGTATTTAAATTTCAGTTTTTACATGAAAAAAGATGTAAAAATTTAAAGAACTCATGATAAATTGCATTTGTGGTCTTTTTTCTTTTGACATCCTAATGTGAAAATATGTACCTATGTTAAATTGAAATGCTTGTAATGAATGATTTGAAAACTCATCACATTTGGAACAAGATATTCCAGATTAGACAAAATAAAAAAAATCCTTTAAGTTAAAGATACAGTATCATAGAACAATGTTACATACAAATAGGAATTTGATACTTCAGAGGTCAGTGATTGCATTATATAACATCCTAAATGTAAGTGTCATTGATTGAGAACTTTAGCATTTGTCTTTTCATTTGTTTCACTTTCATACTTTCTCAGGTCTTCCATAGACATATCTACAATTGGAAAGAAAAAAAAGACACATGTATCATATAAATTACATAAAAATATTACATGAAACATCATCCAACTATAAACACATATATACTTATGATAGGCGTATAAAAAATGATACTAGAATAGTGTTAGAACTTTAATATTTCTTTCTTCTTCAAAGCGATTATATTGTAGACTGATATTCACTTTCATCCTGCAAAAAACCTTTCTACTATACAAATGCAGGTATATATAAATAGTCTACTGGTATTCTACTTTTGTTATGAGCAAACATCTATATTGTTAATATGGTTAACATCACGGTTCAATTTGAGTTCCATCATGGTCGGTGTCAATTTCATTTAAAAACAAATTCAGCCGTTGGGAAGAAAGAAAAAACTATACGTTCATATTCGTTTATTGTAGAAAATATTAAATTTATTTGTACAATGTACTCACTATGAATCAAGTAGAAAGCTCTGCAAATCTCACTTTTGTCTCTTTTTTTAAAACTTATAAAATAAAATGCTCCGCTGGGCGCAGCTTGATACGACTGCAGAGGTCGAACCCTGAACAGTTGGGGCAAGTATGGACACAACATTCAAGCTTGATACAGCACTGAATTTGGATTGTGATTAAATATTTGACACAGCATAGGTTTCTGACACAGAATGAATGTGGTCTAAGAACTTAAAAAAAATTTAATTTACCTATTGAAACCATATCATTATTATTTGCTTTTATATATGAATCAGAAATAACCAATTTAAAATGGAAAATTTTAAAGAAAAAAATGAAAAAAAAATCCCCCCTCAAATTTTTTGAACCCCCTTATGATTCATCACCCCCAAACTCAATCCCAGCCTTCCCTTTGTGGTATGGTACCTTGCAGTACAATTTTAGGGAGATCCGTACACTTGAACACAAGTTATTGTCTGGAAACTAGGAAAATGATTGTTTTTTGGCCCCTTTTTGGCCCCTAATTCCTAAACGTTTAGGGCAATTACCTCCAAACTCAATTCCAGCTTTCCCTTTGTGATATTGAACCTTGTAGTACAATTTCATAAAGATCCATACACTTACACACAAGTTATTGTCCTGAAACTAGAAAAATGCTTGTTTTTTTGCCCCTTTTTGGCCCCTAATTTCTAAAATTTTGAGGCAATTATCCCCAAAATCAATCCCAGCCTTCCCTTTGTGGTATGGTACCTTGCAGTACAATTTCAGAGAGATCCATACACTTGAACACAAGTTATTGTCTGGAAACTAGGAAAATGATTGTTTTTTGGCCCCTTTTTGGCCCCTTATTCCTAAACGTTTTGGGCAATTACCCCCAAACTCAAATCCAGCTTTCCCTTTGTGATACCGAACCTTGTAGTACAATTTCAGAAAGATCCATACACTTACACACAAGTTATTGTCATGAAACTAGAAAAATACTTGTTTTTTGCACCTTTTTTGGCCCCTTATTCCTAAAATTTGGAAGCAATTACCCCAAAAATCAATCCCAGCATTCCCTTTGAGATATGGAACCTTGTGGTACAATGTCAGAGAGATCCATACACTAACACACAAGTTATGTCTGGAAGTTACAAAAATGCTTATTTTTGGCCCCTTTTTCCTTAACTATTGGTATCATAACCCCCAAAATCAATCCCAACCTTCCTTTTGTGGTATTGAACCTTATGGTAAAATTTCATAGAGATCCATTCACTTAAACTAAAGTTAGAGTGCGAAAACCAATGTGTCTTCTGACGACGACGACGCCAACGTCATACCAAAATACCGATAATTAATAGACCATACACCTATAAAATATAAAAATAAGTTTTATATTTCGTTTATTGTAGAAAATATAAAATTTATTTGTACTCGCTATGAATCAAGTGGAAAGCTCTGCAAATCTCACTTTTCTATTTTTAAAACTTGTAAAAATAAATTCTATATTTTCCAACAATGGAAGAATATCAAAAACTCAATAAATTTGTTAGAAATGTTAGTAAAGAAATCTTACCTATCCATTCATCAATCCATGCAAAAGCCTGCCTGTGTCCAAGTACTAATATATCCCTTATTGACTGTAAAGAAAATTAAAGACTATCATACATATATATATATTCAAGTACAAAAATAATGTCACTGTTTCAGTATGTTTTGATTCTCTGCACCAAATTTTGAAAACGGTACGAAACAGGCTGTTTGCAAAAAAATGTCAAATTTTTTCCCTGATTGATACATACCGTCATCTCCTTTTGTTCCTATATATGAACAAAATTTATCACACATTGAAACCAAACATTTAGCCTTGGTTCAGATACTTAAAACATCTCCACCATTGCTCGCAGATCCTTCGTCATATACTATAATAATTTCAGTGACAAGGTTATTGTCTGTCTTAAAACCTTAATTAATCAAGATATGTATTCATGTGCTTTCACTTTTTAAAATACTTTTCTCCCAATAAGTATGGGGAAAAAACAGAAATTCATGTACAATGCCTACTAACTTGTTTTCTGATCAATTTCAGATTTCTCACCAATTTATGAATTTCTCGTGCAACTAAAGACTCTTACCCTTTGTCCAAACTGTTCAACTTTTGTTTGCATTCCCCACATTTCAAAATAAACTTTAACAGCTTTATATGAACACATTATTGGTTTGCTAGTATCCTGTATAAAGACAAATAAGATAATTAATAGACCGTACATCTATTTATAAATAGAAACATACTGAGGAAAATTTTTATTTTGCTTTAATCATTATTAAACTTAATGCCACTAAAATTGTCAAAATTTCATATTTATTGTCAATCTAAGTTTAATACAGCTGAATGTTTTTTTTTCACATGTTCATTGATGTTTTTTTTTAATATATGTTCTTTGATTTGATGTTTTTGTGTCCTACAATCTTGTCCTTTATTCTTATTCAAATATACCACACATTTTGCGATTATAAAATGATAACCTTACCCGCCATCCTTTCTGCAATGGTCCTCTGTCTGTTTTTGTCGACTTGAAGGTTTTTAGATCCTTGAAATAAATCACAACAATTGTATTTCATTAACAAGAAATGATTGTAACAGGATGCTGTTACGAAGTCTCCCAAACGAAGCTCCCATAATTCGTAATTCCCAGTGAAAATTGGTTTGGTCCAGTAAAGTTATATGCATTAGTGATGCCTGGGGACTAACCTTGTATATCATTCAAATCATCTTGGCATGACAAACCAGAATATATATGGTTTAGGGGTGGGGATCTCGACCATTTACAAGATACTAGAACATTGGGGGTGGGGGAACCCCTGGGGACTAACCCTATACGTCATTCAAATGTTAGTTACATGATGAACCAGAATATATATGGTTAAGGGGTGGGGATCTCAACTATTTACGAGATATTAGAACATTGGGGGTGGGGGGAACCCCTGGGGACTGACCGTATACGTCATTCAAATGTTCGAGACATGACAAATAGGAATATATATGGTTTAGGGGTGGGGATCTCAACCATTTACAAGATATTAGAACTTTCTCAAATGGCTGGGGGTCGACATGACCCCTGGGGACTAACCCTGTATATCATTCAAACCATCTTCGCATGACAAACCAGAATATATATGGTTTAGGGGTGGGGATTTTGACCACTTACAAGATATTAGAACTTTCTAAAATGGCAGGGGGTGGGGGTGACCCCTGGGGACTAACCCTGTATTTCATTTGATGTGCTTTATCATGACAAACCAGAATATATATGGTTTAGGGGTGGGGATCTCAACCATTTACAAGATATTAGAACTTTCTCAAATGGCAGGAGGTCGGGATGACCCCTGGGGACTAACCCTGTATATCATTCAAACTACTTAGCATGACAAACCAGAATATATATGCTTTAGGGGTGGGGATCTTGACCACTTAGAAGATATTAGAACTTTCTTAAATGGCATGGGGTGGGGGTGACCCCTGGGGACTAACCCTGTATTACATTTGATGTGCTTTATCATGACAAACCAGAATATATATGGTTTAGGGGTGGGGATCTCGACCATTTACAAGATATTAGAACTTTCTCAAATGGCAGGGGGTCGGGATGACCCCTGGGGACTAACCCTGTATATCATTCCAACCATCTTAGCATGACAAACCAAAATATATATGGTTAAGGGGTGGGGATCTTGACCACTTACAAGGTATTAGAACTTTCTTAAATGGCAGGGGGTGGGGGTGACCCCTGGGGACTAACCCTGTATTTCATTTAATGGGCTTTATCATTTAGAACATTTTCAATTAAAAAGATTGTGTCTATCACAAACGGTTTTTAATTTATAATCATTTGAAAATTAAAAAAAATAAAATCCCATAGGGTTCTATAGTAAAACCCTCTTTTCTTTTTGCCCCTCAAAGTACCCCTTATAAACCCCATTGCACAAACAAAACCCTGATTGCACCACTAGACATATTAGTCTAACATATTGTGAAACCCTAAGTTAATCTGACAAGCGGTTTTGGAGAACGGGTGCGGACAAGTTCAAATTTAAAAGCGGCGGAAGAGGAAGAAGAAGAAGAAGAAGAAGAATAATAATAATAACTGAGCAAAAACAATAAGTCTTCCCAAACTTCGTTTGGGAGACTTAATTAGTCCTTATCAAAATATATATAAAGTGGATTGAATAAAAAGGTTGGATCTCAGACAGAAAATTAAAAATTCTTACAATTAGCACCTTAGCTTGAAAGCAAAATCAATTCTGTTTGAGAAATACTGAAAGCTTTGATTTAACTTGATGGTACATGTTGTAAGTGTTGAAGTCATGTCTTCATCCAAATACAACTGTTTCATCAAACTAAACATAAACATAGGTCTAAGCCCCTTTCTCACCAAGGAGAAGATGGAAGAGTGGTTTCAAGCAGGTTAAGTCTGTTGTATTATGCAACGGTAAAACTTACAGGATTTCTTAGGATCACTTAATTTATAAATTGATCCAATGGTTGGTACGTGTGACCTAAATTTGAAAAATAATGAACACAATTTGTTCAATTTTCATTCTTTCAAATTAACATTTTTAAGATATATTAATGAAAAAGTATATAATTTTTACTTGTATTTCCGTAAAATATATAAGCGCAAAAGTAATAAAATATAGCTTGCAATTGTAAAAAAATTAATCCCCAAATACTGTGAATGTGAAAGCACTTTAATTCGTGGGTATCAATTTTCGTGGTTAGAGCAAAAGTTACATGTTCGTGGGTTTTTAATTTCGTGGATTTTAGTTTTCTAAAAAAAACAAATATAGTGTAGAATTGAAGCCATTAGAAACAAAGATTACAAATTGTCTGGATTGAAGGCAATTGCAAAGTAAACATTTAAATTATTGCACAGTGTAGTGATGACACTAATTAACCTGAGATCGAGTGATCAACAGATTAAAGACCATCAAAGGTGTTAATTAGGCCATAAACATGCCACTTAAAGAAAACAGTAACATAAACAAATGCTAGAAATGTACATTGAATTGTAAAATTAATTCTTATCAAAAGCAAGCCCAGCATGAAATTGTTATTTCCAGTACAAGAATTATGAGGATATAAAATGAACACTTTATCATAGCATATCATCACCGGAAGTGTGACTTTCATCGATCAAAAATATTTTTTATGAGAATTAAAAGATCAGAAGTTGTACAGTTAAGGTTTTTAACGATTAAATGGGTATAATCCTGCCTGCAGTTGTAGTTCATAGTGCATTTGCCCTGAGGCTACTATTATAGTAGTCTCAGATTTTCTGATATTCAATGTATTCTCTAGATCATATTGGTATTCAAACCTACATGGGAATCTTTTCATGTCTTGATTTGGACAACGGTTGTTATATTTCGTTGAACACTTAAATTCCTGGATAAAGTCATCCACGAAAACCACGAAAATTGGTTCCCCACAAATAAAAGTACTTTCACGGTATGTGCAACTGTATGAATGCTCCAGTAATCAAATAAAGGTAGTAATACTGGGTTTTAAATTGCAAATACATAACCATTTGCAGTACATGTAGTATCATATCTATTATCTTAAAGGTTTATTAGAAGCTATTTTCACAAAACTGAAGTCTTCCTGTAGAAGTTAATTGAAATAATTTTCCAATAATGATTGGTTGAGTGATACATCATGAAATTCTGTAAAATTTTTGTGTGACTGTAACAATTCCAGTAATGTTGAAATAACAAGACTGAAAGGAAGCCGTCAAAACTGCTTGAAAATACATTCCAAAGGCAGGTCAATGTAATAAAAAGAATAACTAATCGACTAATTCAAATATCGAAAAATATTCAACTCATGAACAAACAACACTGATATTTAACTCATACGCTGCGCACATTAGAGAATTAATGTGTTGTTCAGTCACTCCTTAAAATTTTCGATATTTAAATTCTTTGATAAGTTATTTTATAATTATTATGTTGATATCAGTAAAGTAAACCAATCTTACCTCTTCTTTCTTAAAATTTTTCTCTGGAATGTCCTCAAAAGCTATATCTATATGTTCTACCTCTCTGACTGCTATATCTTCATCAGATAAACCTACACACTGTAATACACAAATCATAAGCTATCTATCAGAATTCTCAAAAAGTGGTGTTCTGATTGTTTTGACCACCAAAATTTTGCAAAGGACCAACACAATTTTGGTATTTTTTAGTAGAAATAATAGTTAGGCCCAGCAGATTTGCTTCATGGACCACAAGGGGAAAAAAAGATTTCCAGAACTCTGTATCTATGTGTTTTACCTTTCTTACTTCTTTATCTTCATCAGATAAACCTACACACTGTAATACAAAAGTTTCATGAAATTCTGTTATGCTGTTTCAGAGGAGTTGGGATGACAAACTGTTGCAGTAGTATATTTAGGTCAAAATTCTAAGTTCAACATGTTCAAAGGGCATAGCTCATAGAAAAAAAATGAATCATTATTTCCTACCAATATGCACATCTTCATAGTACTTCCTCATTATCTACAGTTTCATGAAATTCTGATATGTGGTTTCAGAGGAGTTGAGGTGACAATGAAGTTTAAAGGGGCAGGTTAGGGGGGAGGATTGGTGCGCCTTCAAACTAGTTTAACCCTGCCACATTCTGTATGTGCCTGTCCCAAGTCAGGAGCCTGTAATTCAGTGGTTGTCTTTTGTTGCTGTATACCATATTTGTGTTTTGTTCATTATTTTGTACATAAATCAGGCTGTTAGTTTTCTCGTTTGAATTGTTTTACATTTGTCATTTCGGGGCCTTTTATAGCTGACTATGCAGTATGGTTTTTACTCATTGTTGAAGGCTGTACGGTGACATATAGTTGTTAATTTCTGTGTCATTTGGTCTCTTGTTGAGAGTTGTCTCATTGGCAATCATACCACATCTTCTTATTTTTATAACTCTTAGAATAAAATTGAATCATAATTATTTGTCGATATGCATCTACATAGTATGTCCTAATAATCTATAAAGTTGGGTAGGGTATAATCTTAACCTGTAAATATAGTGTCACAGTGTACTGTGTTGTTTTAAAGTTGGAATGATTTCAATGATACTGTTAGTTTGTACCAGTCTTCATGATAAAATCTATGATGGTCAGATCAAGGTTTCCTCTGTTTCAAAACTGAAACCAAAATTTTATATATTTTGTTTTGTTGAGAAATTTCCTGTGTGAAATTATCCTTCTGCTTTGTAATGTTTTGCAGTATATTCATTATAAAATACTAATCTTACACACGCAGAAATTTATTATAAACTTTACCATGTGTGCTGTATATAAGACCATTTGTATATTTAGTAGTAAAATAATGAGTGTATATATAATCTTATCTATCTCTTTCACATGATTATCTGTGTTTTTATTGGTCCAACAAATGAACCATTGTGTGCCTGTTTGTTTGAGGATGTTTAACAATACTTTCTATAAATTACCTAGTACAATGGTATGGCAGTTCAGATTTGTTGGTGGATGAAATCAAATTCACAAGGACAAACTATCGATCTTCCAGCAATACCTGATAAACTATTATCACATACCATAAGACCTGCTGTCTGTTTTTACAAATGACCTGACCAAATCTTTGCAAATGATGTGTTATATCAAATACTTACATTTTCACTTGATCCATTATTATTTTCGTATCTTGTTTCTATATATACTTTAAATAGAGGTACAAATGAACACTGTAAAGAGAATACATGCATAAAATGTACAACAACTACTGGTACATAAATGTACATGCCCTAATATACTGTTGACATTTTGGTTTCAAGGATAATTGTGGTTGTTCTGTGTCCTTTTTAAGGGTTTTGATGGTTGAAATATTTTATATTTCTGACTGCAAAAACTTTCTGTCTTCATTGTACCTGATAAAGTATTATTCCATACACATATGTCAAAGCCACTAAAATTATTATAATATGATTGAGACTTTAACTTTGGAAAATGGTGATTTTTTTCACAAGTGGTACAATTTATTGTCATTATTTCTAATCAAATGCCATAAAACTATGTTTTAACATGTTTTTTGTAAGGGCTGTTCTGTTTGAACATACATGGTACCATGTGGGAAAGCACTTTGGGTAACCACCTATAGAGCAAAATTAAGAATCTAACTCATATTTTCACTATTCTAGACTCACACCCTTAGTGGAGATTTCAAAGTGTCTTCCCTGGGTCTCCTGTATGTTTTTCTGGAACAGCCCTAATTCGTTTTAGACTGTTTTGTCCTTTGTAATGCATAAACTTTAAAAACCTGGGGTCTGTTGTTCATCTTGTTGTTAATTATGATGAGTCATTAAAATTTCTTAATCATTCGATTAAAATTATTATTTAAATAGGCTTAGAGCTTTTTTGTTTGTAATCATAATGTTTGAATATTATAAAATTACTGATTAGAGCTGTTGTCTATTTAACTGCATACTTACTGTGTATTCTGTTGATTGAGGATATGAAAAAGAAAGAAATACATACATTCATATGGATACAACTAAAAAACAAAATTTGCATTAGGATTAGTGGTGCAATGATTTAAATTTTTTCAGTTCTGTATATATATATATATATTTGTTCACGTTTTGTTATCATTTTGTTAAAGTTTGGTTTTGCTCATTGTTGAAGACTATACAGAGACCTGAAGTGTTTTTTACATCCTTGTCCTTTGGTCTTTGGTTTTCTTATAGGGAAATCCTATCATAACTCTTTGTATTAATTATATTCTATTTCACTATCTTGGTTTACAGTTCTTCAATTTTGTCACTTCATGTTATAGTTGAACTGAATTGTTTGGTGCAAAATCCACTTATCTTTTTTGTTTTCAGGGACTTTACTATAATGACAATGCTACTATAAAGAATGATCAGTCAGGAGAGACAATAAAATCTAACCCAATGTGACCATGCCAGAAATCGGTTTTATGACTTATCTGATTCATTGTCATGTTAAATTCATTTATTACATCAAAGTCTGTTATTTCAATCAAATTTCAAATAACTGTTCTGAATTAAATACAAAAGCCCAGGAGTCATCATACAAAACTGGCCAAATTACGGACGACCTTGGTTTTTTTGCATCATTCATATGCCCATTTCAACCCTAATCATGATTTTTGGGTAGTTCAAGTATGCTTTAGGAATACATTGTGTACTGTCTTTTCCCAATGGATACCAGTAAAATGTTACATATATGTTAAGCTAAAAGTAATCAACATGTTAAACAATTAAAGGAAAAGTTAACATATAACTACTTTTGTTCACCATGAAATTCAATTATAGTTAAAATTATATCATATAGGCACATTGCCCCAATGTTCAACCCTATTTACTTTTATCAGAGAACTGACTGGGATTAAACTCTATTTTCAATAAAACAATAATGGTCTGAAAACAACAATCCTTTTCTTTTCTTTAAGAATCAAAATACAATACAGAATTTTGAATAACCTTTTATTTTCATAAACATTGATACTTTTTTTTCAAACTAATTTATTTGAAATTAGGATTTTTGTGGGTAAAATCCTTGTTCACTTCAATATTTCCACTTACCTGCCTCCTTAACTAGTTGCAATTTCCCTCTACCTCCCCATACGTTCGTCGAGTTTTTTATTATAAATATGGTAATACTTCCAGGTATCTCTCTTGCGTTTCTCTTCAGTTTCTCGAGACCAATATTAAGTAATTCCTCGAGAGGGGAGGAGGGCGGGTGAGGCAGGTAAGCGTAAATATTTCATGAACAAGGATTTTACCCACAAAAATCCTCGTTCACTTCAATATTTCCACTTACCTGCCTCCTTAACTAGTTGCAAAAGAATTTGAAGCCCTACTAAAGGAGGTTGAAAAAAATTAAATAAGGAATTAAAAAATTATATTCACCTATTTCTGTCTTCCTCTCTTGAAAGAATCCAAAATTGCTGACTTGGCAAAAATGGACTGGTGGTCTGGAACATCCTTCAGATAGAATGAAGTGAAAGTGGTTTCAGATGTCCAGTGAGCTGCTTTTAAAATTTCTTCAGCTGATACACCACAAAATAAAGCCCATGAAGTAGAGAGTCTTCTTGTATCATGTGCTCTTACTGTTTTAAAAGTGTCTTTATCTGCATTTTCATATGCATAACGCACTGTATTAACAATCCATCTTGCAATAGAATCCTTTGAAGCTTCTTTATGATGGTTTTTTTTATAAGTAACAAACAGTCTGTTTGATTTCCTTATAGATTTTGTTCTATTTATGTAAATCCTTAATGCACGGCAAGGGCATAGTTTCAAATCCTCAGAATCAGTTGCATAAGAATTAAATGAAGGAATGAATAATGGCTCCCAAGGCCTATTCAAAGTCTGTGTTTTTGCAAGAAACTGCATATTTGGTAATAGTTTAATTCCATTTTTTTCAAATCTAAAATGTCCATCATCTAATGATAAGCTATGAATTTCACTAACTCTACTGGCTGATTCAAAAGCTACTAGAAAAGCTGTTTTGAATGTTAAAAACTTTAATTCAACTGAATCTAAATGTTCAAAAGGATGTTTTGTTAGCATCAATAAAACTAAAGGTAAATTCCAATTTGGGGTCAATTGACGAATTGGTGGACTCATATTAAATAATCCTTTAATCAATGAAGATAACTCAGAACTTTTTGAAATTTCTAATCCATTATTATGAATCAATGATATGACTGACTTGTAACCTGTAATAGTCTGTGGTTTGCATTTTCTTACAGTAGAAAGATATAACAAAAATTCTGCTACTTCTGGTATAGTTGAAGAAATGGAATTGATATTGTGTTCTTTACACCAACTGTCATATATTCTGAGTCTTGCATCATACACTGTTTGAGTAGATGTTTTTCTGGCATTTGCCATAATTTCTGCAGTTTTTTCAGAAAATCCTTTTGACTGATGGCGCAATTGGATAATTTCCATGCCACAAGATTCAATGTTTCTGGACTCTGATGAAATATTTGTATTCGATTGTGAATTTGTGAAAGCAGATCTGGCAAAAGAGGTAGTTTTATTGGAATATCTATCAGTAGATCCAACATCTGAGGATACCAAGATTATCTTGGCCACATTGGTGCTATTAGAAGAACAACTGTCTTTTCTTCTCGATTCTTTTGTAATATCCGAGGAACAAGGATTGGAGGAGGAAATGCATATGCATACATGCCGCTCCAATTTACAGTTAAAGCATCTACTTGAAATGCTGCTATGTCTGGAACTGGAGAGCAATAAACTGCCAACTTTTTGTTTTGAGCTGTTGCAAACAGATCTATACTTGGAGTTCCCAGTTTCTGAAATATCATAGTGTTGAGTGTCCACTCTGTCATCTTGAAAAGATTTTTCCCCCTCGAAAGAGCATCTGCTAGTAGATTTATCTTTCCCGGAATGTGAACTGCACAGATAGTTACATTGTTCTGAATACTCCATTGGTAAAGGTCCCAAGTTAGGTAACACAGTTCTGGCGAATGGGTTCCGCCCTGCTTGTTGATATAACTTATCACTGTTGTATTGTCCAACCTTATCAAAATATTCATGTCTTTCACGATCTGTACAGCTTCTTGAAGAGCTAACTGTACAGCCTTCAATTCCAACCAATTTATATGTTTTAGTTGGTAAGACTTTGGCCATATTCCTGATGTCTGCCAAGTTTCTAGATGAGCTCCCCATCCTAGTTCTGAAGCATCTGTGATCAATGTCAACTGAATTGTCAGCTCCTGTAAAGACATTCCTTTGAAAATATTTGTCCGATTTGTCCACCATTTTAAATGTACTGTCATGCTCATTCGTACAGGAATGAACTGATTCAATGGCTGGATGTTTGGTCTCCATAGCATGGTGCTAACAAATAAAGTTGGATTGGCCTCATGTGTAATCTTCCCATGGGTATTAGGTAAATGCATGATGCCATCAGACCTAGTAATTTTAAAATTACGTCTTCTTGAATCTGTTGACTGTTTAGTAATGCATGTATTATTTCCAAAATACTTTGAAATCTTGTCTCTGTTGGTGTTACTATCCCTTTCTCTAGATTGAAAAGGGCTCCCAAGTATTCTATATGTTGGGTTGGTATTAAGTTTGACTTTTTCTAATTTACCAGAAGTCCCAAATCTTGAACTAGACCGAGTACAAAATGCATTTGCTTTACAAGAGCTGTTCCATCTGAATTGCTGATAAGCCAATCGTCTAGATACATGAATATCTGAATCATTAACTTTCTTAGGTATGCTGCCAATACAGCCATGATCTTTGTGAACACTCTTGGGGCAGATTTGAGCCTGAATGGCATTGCTCGAAATCAGTAGATGTGACCTAGAAATCAGAATCTCAGTAATTGATTGAAATCTGTGTGAATTGGAATATGAAAATATGCATCTGCTAAAACCAAAGTTACTGCATAGTCTCCCTTTTTTAAAGCTTTCATAATTGAACGGAGAGTTTCCATCTTGAAATGATGAGGCACTACTAAATGGTTTAGAAGTTTCAGATTGAGAATCGGTCACAGACCTCCTTGTCGTTTCGGAACTACGAAAACTGTGCTGTAATAACCCAAGTTTTCTTGCCCAACAGGAACATGTTCTATCACATTTTTTTCTAATAAAACACTTATTTCTGTTAAAATTACCAACTCGTGAATACCATATCTTGGAACACTTGTCTCTTTTATGTTTAACTAGAGGCTCTAAAGAGCCTGTGTCGCTCACCTTGGTCTATGTGCATATTAAACAAAGGACACAGATGGATTCATGACAAAATTGTGTTTTGGTGATGGTGATGTGTTTGTAGATCTTACTTTACTGAATATTCTTGCTCCTTACTGTTATCTCTATCTATAATGAACTTGGCCCGGTAGTTACAGTGGAAAATACTTTAAAAAATTTACAAAAATTTACAAAATTTATGAAAATTGTAAAAAATTGACTATAAATGGCAATAACTCCTTAAGGGGTCAATTGACAATTTTGGTCATGTTGCCTTATTTGTAGATCTTACTTTGCTGAACATTATTGCTGTTTACAGTTTATCTCTATCTGTAATAATATTCAAGATAATAACCAAAAACGGCAAAATTTCCTTAAAATTACCAATTCAGGGGCAGCAACCCAACAACGGGTTGCCTGATTGGTCTGAAAATTTCAGGGCAGATAGATCTTGACCTAATGAACAATTTTATACTCATCAGATTTGCTCTAAATGCTTTGGTTTCAGAGATATGAGCCAAAAACTGCATTTTACCCTATGTACTATTTTTTAGCCATGTCGGCCATCTTCGTTCGTGGGCGGGGTCATTGGACACATTTTTTAAACTAGATACCCTAATGATGATTGTGGACAAGTTTGGTTAAATTTGTCTTCGTAGTTTCAGAGGAGAAGATTTTTGTAAAAGATTACAAAAATTTACGAAAAATGGTTAAAAATTGACTATAAAGGGCAATAACTCCTTAAGGGGTCAACTGACCATTTTGGTCAAGTCGAATTATTTGTAGATCTTACTTTGCTGAACATTATTGCTGTTTACAGTTTACCTCTATCTATAATAATATTCAAGATAATAACCAAAAACTGCAAAATTTCCTTAAAATTACCAATTCAGGGGCAGCAACCCAACAACGGGTTGTCCGATTCATCTGAAAATTTCAGGGCAGATAGATCTTGACCTGATAAACAATTTTTACCCCATGTCAGATTTGCTCTAAATGCTTTGGTTTCAGAGATATAAGCCAAAATCTACATTTTACCCCTATGTTCTAATTTTAGCCATGGTGGCCATCTTGGTTGGTTGGCCGGGTCACCGGACACATTTTTTAAACTAGATACCCCAATAATGATTGTGGCCAAGTTTGGTCAAATTTGGCCCAGTAGTTTCAGAGGAGAAGATTTTTGTAAAAGTTTACGGACGACGGACGACGGACGCAAAGTGATGAGAAAAGCTCACTTGACCTTTCAGGTCAGGTGAGCTAAAAATGGATGACTCATAAACTCCAGTTTTAGTCCTTCTAGTAAAGTTTCTAAATCCCATTGATCTCCTGTGATCTTTGTCCACTTCCTGTGAAACATTAGCAAACGTGTCCCTACCTGGGGACTTATATTTACAGTTTGTACAAGGTTCTTTGAACTTATTTCCTTGGAGCTGGGAAACCTTTTGGGTTCCCAGCTGCTTTCCGAAAAAAATTTCCTTTCCTTGAAAAATTTCCTGGACGAAAATTATCTTTGTTGGAGTAAGTGTTTGTTCTGGCAACTTTAGCTCCATGTTCAGAATTGTCAGAATAGTCACCTTTCCTCTTTCTGTTAAAGTCATTTACAGGAGTGCGATCATCTCTAGACTTGTTAAAGTTCTTGCTATAACTACCAGTATTATTATTAACATTCTGGGTCTCTCTAGCATCCCGTAAATTTTCTGCTGATGTATGCAGTGTGTCAAAGTATTTTCCATTAAAAAGTTGACTGCCAAAAACGGGCAACTTTAACAACTTCTTTTCTGTGGACTTACTAATGAAGTTAACATTTTTCAGAAAAAGTTTCCTTCTACTTAAAACTGAATTTGCCATGATTCTGCCTGATAAATCAGCCATACTTCTTAAGCAATTAATTAATGCTTTACGTCCTTCAAAATCCTATCATCTTCACAAGTTGCCTCATCCAAAAAGGCAGAAATCATAGTACCATATGAAACTGCTCTAAAAAGTGCCCTGGCAGAATTGTCCATACGACGAAAATCATTATCTAATTCTCTGTGAAAAGGTGGAATATTAACTCCAGATTTAAAAGAATTGCCTTTATGACCAATTGCTAGCCCTTCCTCAATATTGTCATCTAACTTAGGAGGACTACAGAAAGCATTAAAATCATCTTTCTTAACCATGAAAGCCTTATCATCCCTGCCACGAACAGCTCTGTTTTTTAAATGACCAGAGACAGCTTCCTTTTCTACAGATTTTACCATGTCAATAATTGTACCTTCCAAAGGTAATTTAATTGCTGATTTTTTATCATTCTTGTCAGGTTTTAATCTTGCCGAAACAAAAGAAGGATGTTCCTGATCTTGAGTCTCTGAAGATTCAGGTTCTATATTGAGAACTGTTGCCATTTTATGAATAAATGAAACCCACTCAATTGGATCAGAAGCACCAGGTGCCCTTGTGGTACCTCAACTGGGGTGCATGTAAACATTTGACTAGATTGTGGCAATGCAGACCCATCATCAATCGTTTCTTCTGGATCAAGATAAGAAACCTGATCTTGATCAACATTCGTCATTAAAGACATCTGATTGTCATAGCTTTTGAATTTGTCAAAATGTGGCCTTTGGTTTTGCAAAGTTGCAAAACTAGGCTTTCCAGGAGGTTGAACTTCAAGAACATTAGCATTGATATCAATCAATTTCTTTTTGAATAAGTTTTGTATTTGTAATTGTACCTGTTCTTGTACAATGGCCGAAATATCGACTATACAAGTGCTGTTGTCAGGTGTATTTTCAGTGACAGTGTCGTCCTTTGAAGCTCTGACTGCCGCCTCCACAGGTGGAATTATGTCTTTGAAATCTGTCAACCCGTCTACACAGGCGGGTTGAGACAGTTTATTCAATTTAATTGTCTTCTGAACACTTTTTTCAATCATTTCATGATCAAACTCTGATGCTCCTTTGACCAATTTTTGCAAATTTTGCATGGAAATGACTCGTTACAAATACGATGTTTGTAACATTCATCGTGCTCATCCAGTGTGTTCATCTTGTCCGGACACCTTACACACTTCTTAAACTTATCTTCCTGTTTCTCCATCTTACGATTCAAATTCTAATTATCCAAATAAGCGTACGGGGAAAGCAACGCATGTGCTTTAATGGCGGCCGCCGAGAGAAACTGAAGAGAAACGCAAGGGAGATAACTGGAGGTATTACCGTATTTATAACAAGAGTGCACACGCTGAAATGTCTCGCCTTCTTTACTAATCATTGATATTATGTTGATAGTCCTAAATATAAAGCTTTAATACAACTGTCACATAAACTTAACATTAACCAAGTAAACTAAACATTGACCAATGAACCATGAAAATGAGGTCAAGGTCAGATGAACCATGCTAGGCAGGCATGTACAGCTAACAATTCTTCCATACAACAAGTATGGTTGACCTATTGCTTATAGTTTAAGAAAAACAGACCAAAACACAAAAACTTAACACTGAGCAATGAACCTTGAAAATGAGGTCAAGGTCAAATAAAACCTGCGTGACTGACATATAGATCATAAAATATTTCCATACACTAAATGTAGTTGAACTATTGCATATAGTATTAGAAAAAAAGATCAAATCTCAAAAACTTAACTTTGACCACTGAACCATGAAAATGAGGTCAAGGTCAGATGACACCTGCCAGCTAGACATGTACACCTTACAATCATTCCATACAGCAAATATAGTAGACCTATTGCATGCAGTATTAGAAAAAAAGACCAAAACTCAAAAACTTAACTTTGACCACTGAACCATGAAAATGAGGTCAAGGTCAGATGACACCTGCCAGCTAGACATGTACACCTTACAATCCTTCCATACACCAAATATTGTAGACCTATTGCATACAGTATAAGAAAAACAGACCAAAACACAAAAACTCAACTATAACCACTGAACCATGAAAATGAGGTCAAGGTCACATGACACCTGCCAGCTAGACATGTACACCTTACAATCCTTCCATACACCAAATATAGTAGACCTATTGCATACAGTATAAGAAAAACAGACCAAAACACAAAAACTCAACTATAACCACTGAACCATGAAAATGAGGTCAAGGTCAGATGACACCTGCCAGCTAGACATGTACACCTTACAATCCTTCCATACACCAAATATAGTAGACCTATTGCATACAGTATAAGAAAAACAGACCAAAACACAAAAACTCAACTATAACCACTGAACCATGAAAATGAGGTCAAGGTCAGATGACACCTGCCAGCTAGACATGCACACCTTACAATCCTTCCATACACCAAATATAGTAGACCTATTGCATACAGTATAAGAAAAACAGACCAAAACACAAAAACTTAACTATAACCACTGAACCATGAAAACGAGGTCAAGGTCAGATGACACCTGCCAGTTGGACATGTACACCTTACAGTCCTTCCATACACCGAATATACTAGACCTATTGCTTATAGTATCTGAGATATGGACTAGACCACGAAAACTTAACCTTGTTCACTGATCCATGAAATGAGGTCGAGGTCAAGTGAAAACTGTCTGACGGGCATGAGGACCTTGCAAGGTACGCACATACCAAATATAGTTATCCTATTACTTATAATAAGAGAGAATTTAACATTACAAAAAATCTGAACTTTTTTTTCAAGTAGTCACTGAACCATGAAAATGAGGTCAAGGACATTGGACATGTGACTGACGGAAACTTCGTAACATGAGGCATCCATATACAAAGTATGAAGCATCCAGGTCTTCCACCCTCTAAAATATAAAGCTTTTAAGAAGTTAGCTAACGCCGCCGCCGCCGTAGCCGCCGCCGCCGCCGCCGCCGCCGCCGCCGGATCACTATCCCTATGTCGAGCTTTCTGCGACAAAAGTCGCAGGCTCGACAATAAAAAACTCGACGAACGTATGGGGAAGTAGAGGGAAATTGCAACTAGTTAAGGAGGCAGGTAAGTGGAAATATTGAAGTGAACAAGCTTTTTACTTCTTTCTTTCCCATACAGTCTTTTTTCAGCAAACATCATTTAATTGTGTTAAAAACTAACCTGTTTCTGTATAAGGGTAATAATTCCATGCTTTTTCTATGATGTAGAAAATATTTGGGATCATACTTCTTATCCAGCTAGGTAATCGGCTGCAAATAATGCAAGATAATGTTATAATAAATAAAGTTGTACTTAATAAATAAATAAATTACATATACATGATGGTTAAAAATTATAGCTCCATATATGAATAATATGTACACTTTTTCAAATGACCAAGCTTTTTTTATTTAATCTTAAAATTGCCAGTCTCTGAGACCTCAATTTCAAGGTCATAAAGCAAGGACCTCATATCAATAGACCTTAGGTCTCTACTATACATTGTTCAAGAGTTATATTACCATACATCTTATTTTTAACATTATAGAGGCAAAAACTTCTAGAAAATGTCACTGTACTACTTCAAAGAAAAAATTTCCTATTAACATGATTAAGACATATTGCAACTGACAATTTAGTGTAAATCTTTTGATGATATATATTACAGTTTCTTAGAAGCATGAGCAAGCAAAAGCAAAATAATTAAACATGACCTTGACCTCAAATAAAAAGACCCTAGGTCTCTATCATTTATGTTTTATGAGTTACTCATACATTCCATTTATGTCGAATACATAAAGGGAAAGATGGATAGACCTTAAAAAAATAATCAGAACAAAATCAAAAGGTCTTTCAAAGTGGGAAGACCTAATAATAATAATAATAATAACAAAATCCAAAAGGTCTTTCCATGGAAAAGTGGAAAGACATTATAATAATAATCAGAACAAAATCCAAAGGTCTTTCCATGAAAAAGTGGAAAGACATTATATATAGTTATAATAATAATCAGAACAAAATCCAAAGGTCTTTTCGTGAAAAAGTGGAAAGACATTATAATAATAATCAGAACAAAATCAAAAGGTCTTTCCGTGGAAAAGTGGAAATACCTAATAATTACCTTATAGTCAACCTACAAAAAACACAGAAAAAATTGTGAGTACCTTCCGCAGTCTCTTCTATCAATATCAATGATCAGCATGTCACACACCATGTAGCAGGTTACTTAAATTTGTCTATACATGTCTGTACATCTATTGACACTTGGATTTTTGGTTTTATTTTCACAAATAGTCACCCACTCCTCAATGAGCCATGAATGGCTTGATATTTTAACAGATTCTACTTACCTAGACAAATAAATCCTTTTCTCTGTAAATCTACCCTTCCCATGTTTTGGGTGATCACATTCTTCATTCTTAACAACTTCTACTCCTTCTCCATTTTCACTTTGTTCATGACTGTGCTTTGCAATCATATACAGCTGACCAATTTCATACTGTAAAAGGAAAAAAATATCTTAATAACACATTTCTAATGCCCTAAAGGACAAAGAGTGATAAGGACCATTTTTAACTTTAAAATGATGAATTTATAGCCGCATCAGCAGGGCACATATTTCTGTAAACTGTGAAGTGGCATTCATTTTTTTCATTAAAAATTTGTTTTGTTTTTGTTTGTTCATTGGACATTATGCCTCACTCACACTATCAGTTAACTGTGAAATCTTCATCAAAACCCATCAATACCCTTATCTGGCATATAAATGTATATATATATATTTTAAAACAGTTCATTTGTAACGATCTTGATTACTAACTTTCAAGTTGGTGTGAGCACAAACTTTTTTAAACCAAAACTTTAATCTATATATACATGTACCTTTAATCTGAAAAGGAACAGAAAGACTGGGGAACAGAAGGATCGACAGACACAAAGACTGCCGAACAGAAGGATCGACAGACACAAAGACTGGCGAACAGAAGGATCGACAGACACACAGACTGGAAAACTTCTTACTATCATAGGAAGGTGATATACATCTAATTTTGACTTGTTTCTAAGGAAATACTTATTATTACTTGAGGACTAAAACATGAAAAATGTACCCAACTAACAAATGGCTATAGCATATATACTAATTTTATTTACAATTGAGTACAATTAGTTGATCATTTTATTACTGCAGGGAAGGATTATAATAAATGTAATATTTCAATACATACAATTAGAAAGGGGTTCCGTGGAACCTGAGTCTCGCCTGTAATTGCTGCTATCAGTGTATGTGTAATGTTGACTTAAAAAGTGAGTCTATTTATCAATAAAATACACTATTTAAAAAATAATTCATTTTTTTTGTTTAGATGCTATTTCTTGGTCTTGAAGATCAGCATCTGTCCAAGTTTCATAATAATCCATAAATGTTTACAAATTTTTCATGTGAACAAAATTTAATCCCAGACTGTCTGTAAATGTTAACTGTAAAAAACTAAGTCCATCTATCATGTCTATCAGAAAAAAAACAGAAAATGAAAAAAAAAATATTTTCAAAAGTTTGCTCCAGACATACTATTAATCATAAAACAGCTTCTGCCAAAGTTTCATAAAATTCTATGAAGGTTTGAAAAGTCCATTTATCAGTAAAATATGGAAAAAACGAAAATAAATATTTTCAAAATTTCGCTCTGGGTACTGTCTTTTGGTCATAAACAATCTTCTGTCTAAATATCATAAAATTCCATAATGGTTTGACAAAGTTATTGATGATTGAAAAACTTTAACCGCAGATCTAGACTAAGTCTGAATGTTAACTGCAAAAAAAAAACTAAGTCCACTTATCAATAAAATACAGAAAAATGAAAATAAATATTTCAAAATTTAGCTCTGGATACTGTTAGAAGTTTTAGTCCTAAACAACCTTCCGACCAAATTTCATAAAATTCCGTGCAGGTTTGACAAATTTAAATTATTGATGTCTAAAAAAACTTAACCACATCCACAAACTTAAATGTTGACACTGCAGAAGTCAACGACAGAATCTAGGACCGTTATGTCTCGTTTTCACGACATAAATGTCACAGGCTCGACAATAAATATAAAATTCAGATTTCACTTAGCAAGACATATACTGTTTACACTGGGTTTCAATGACTGCAGTGTTTTTTTCCTTGTATATGACACACTTTTCCTTGTATATGACACACTTTCCCCTTGTATATGACACACTTTCCCTTGTATATGACACACTTTCCCTTGTATATGACACACTTTTCCTTGTATATGACACACTTTAAAAGGATGTATAGGATTCAGGTCTGCCAAATTTATCATAAGAGTAAAATTAGTTAACCATTTTATTACTGTAGGGCAAGGATATAATTTCAATACATAAAAATGTACAATTTTTATTTCATTCTGCATAACATATACGTATTATATCATTATGTACATGATGTATGTGAAAAATCTCTAAGAATAGCTGATTACTTTTTTTTTGAAACATAATCATGATAATACATATATGCATACATTTGTATGTCATTTAAAGATGTACATGACCAAACATGAGTTTTGTCGTGTTTGTTAGATAAATCTTAGTGCAAAAAAAAGTCTATACCCATTATACATTGTACCTATCTTTCATCAGGAAATTATAATGGAAATTTAGATGACAGTATCTTTAAAAGAATCTACACTTTGTTTAGAATAAATGAAAAAAGAGAAAAACATCCTGGTTATAAGATATTCATCAGCATCTACATAAGGATATAAATGAAAAAATTCAATAAGCAATGATCATGATGATAAGTACATGTACAAAGACAGAAAAACTTCCATTGTTAAGAAAAAATTTGAACTACTTGTAATGTATCTTCTTCCTTTTTTTTTTATCAAATTAAACAAAGAGATGTAAAACACTTTTTTTATAATAAATACAAAAGGAATTTAAATCACAACAGTCATCACATCCTTGTGCAAAGAAGGCAATAAAAAAACATAAGCCAAAAAAACATACAGCTAGGTAAAAAACAATATCAATAGACAACAAACTGTCTTAGTACAAAACACTAACATACCCACATACAAAACCCTAAAGGTAAAGTAACATGGATTCTTGACAAAAAACCGGGGTTCTCAGAAAGTAAACAGATCTTACTTCACTAGTTGTACAATTCATATAACTTTATGATAATTTGCATTCCATGATGTCAGAAACAATGAAAAGAAGAAGGGATTGTGGCTATGACAAGTGGTACATATATATCTGCATGATAATTGATATGTGGTCATCTGTAACAAAGATATTCCATAACAATGATAACAGTCAAAAAAAAAATTGATGGTATCTATAAAAATTTTGTTTCGACATCAGTTTAAGAATTAGCTTCATTGTAAGCATCAACCTACTATCAAGGAAATTATGATATAAATTGTAAGCCATAGAATATCACATCAAGTGGGTGATACATTGTGATATAAACATGTACACAATATGCAGGTGCTGCTAGAATGTTGCTATTAATTACAACATGTACAAATGGAAAATTCATAATAGGAGATAGAAATCGTTTTTTTGTTGCAAAAAGTTTAGTTCTTCATTTTTTATTACATGTATTAAATCGAACACCATTTTCTAGAGGTAAGGTAAGATAGGAAGTAGACCAAAATGTATCTGTATACATAGTATCCATATTTTAAGATTTAAAGGCACAGATGAGATCAACATAACATGTAATCATTAAAGTCATATGAAACAAGTTTCTTGTAATTATAATGTAAAGAAAATCATTGAACCATTGCAGGGTTTCCCCTGGGTCAATTTTCTTTCTCGCCACCAGGGTTGCCAAAACAATATATTTTTCACCATTTTCAATTTTGTTTTGCCAACTAAAATAAACATATTTTTGTTTAAAATTCTTTCCAACAAAAAAAAATCAGTTTGCCACATTGTTGTATATTGTAATTCTACATATCTATTTTTTAATCTATATTGTAATAAATAAACATGCAATAATAACATTACTTTTTAAAAGATACTGTAAAATTGCAATATAGATTATGAAATCATCATTTTTGACTTCTGTGAACACAGGATTCATCTTCTTTAAGTTTATCGGATACTTCCTGTCTAGTTGAAGGCTAAAGGCTAAAGTCATAGATTTACTTACTTATGAACATATTTGTTCATGACAACACTTTTCTTTTACGGACCATCTTCAAAACAAAAAAAGGTGGAGACTCAAAACTATGTTTCAAACATATGTGTCGCTAAAACGATTGCAAATACCCACTTCAAAACAGTTATTTCTATCAAAGTTAAAGGACAAAGTTTAAAGTCAGAGACTTTTCTTACTTTTGAACATTTTTCGTCACGCAAACAGTTTACTTTCCCGGACCATCGTTAAAAGAAAAAGAGGAGATGTAAAACTAAGCTTCAAACGTGTTGTCTAAAACGATTGTTAAGTACCCACTTCAAAACAATTATTTCTATTAATCTTGTAAATAATAGGTGACATACAGACCCCATTTAACCACATCATTTCATTAAACAATACAATCAACACCTTTATCAGTTAGTAAATTGTCCGGCCAATAGCTATAAAATGCAATCAGCTGATTATTGATTTTCTATCAAAATTGTAACGAGTTCAAGGTGAATTCCCAGTATTGCCTGATCAGGGGAAAGTTTGAGAAACCTGAAAAAAGCAAACAAGATGAACGAAGTCGATCCGTTATATTTCATTCGCCAATACTGAATTTTAATTGCCACAATTTCTATTTTTTTGCAAAATGCAAAAATGGCGATATGCCAGCAGAAAACCTGCATTGCATGCATATATACTACATGTAAACTAAGCCTCTGTGGACTTGATTTACATTTATTATGAATCTATAACATATTATCAACAAATAATATTTAATTCAGTGATTGTTGATCGCAAGCTAATTTACTTTTGTTCTGGAAGTTAACCTGATTGTGAAATTGATAAACAATCAGCACAAAATCATTCAGCTTGTGAAAATAAGATGAATTGAAAGAGCGATGTTAATTATTTTCCCCCATGTATTCCCATTTTTATATTAAACGTTTCCTTTAATTGTTCTTAAATGATTTGGTGTATTTCATTTGTTCTTTAAAAATTAATTATTACTATTTACCTTCTAGTGCAGGCAGCACATTTGTTTACATTCTTCAATCAAGTGTTTTTCCTTGCACTTGCGCTGTGCATAGGACAAAGTTCTAACGAGAGGTCCAGTTTGCACCGTTAGCCACGAGTCTGATGCTTAATTCGGACTGGTGAGTATTTGCAAAATTTTGTTAAGACACATAAGAATAAATTGCTTCGCCGAGCGCAGCTGGATACGACTGCAGAGGTCCAACCCTGAACAGTTGGGGCAAAAATGGACGCAATATTCGTGCTTGATACAGGTCTGAATTTGTATTGTATCTAAATATTTGACACATAAAAGGTTTCTGACACAGAATAACTGTAGTCAAAGAACTTAGAATTCGTTATATGATTTGAATTTATATTCATTTTTTGGCTTTTGTACAATACACTTTGCTGTTGCGAATTGAGCCCCCCTACCCCACCAAAAAAAATAAAAAAAATTTACCCCCCCTTTTTTTATGGCTTTTGTGCAATACACTATGCTGTTGCGTATTAACCCCCCCCCCCCCCTTTTTTGTTGCTTCTGTGCAATACACTATACTGTTGCGTATTAACACCCCCCCCCCAACTAACACACTTTTTTTTTGCCAAAAAAATAATATTTGAAGAATTTTTCTTTTTAACTTCTGAAATTTGAAATGAGAAAAAATTGACCCCCCATAATTTCTTTTTACCCCCCAAAAAATTCTTTCCCTCAAGATATGGTCATAATCTCAATTCAAATTTCCAATGGAGTTTGCAACCATAATTACCCATTTAAATTTACCATAGTGATAACTTAATCTATTTTATAATAGAATTTAAAATATGGTGTCAAATCTTTCATATGGATTTTTTTACTGGTCTTCCTTTATAAATATGCATTTCTTTAAACATAATTTAAAAGCAGTGTAAGGGAGGTAATCAAAATGTTGTATTTGGATTACCTCCCTTACACTGCTTTAAATTATGTATTGTTCAAAAGTATTTGTCCATTAACCAGGAAACCCTTGTTTTTCCCCTTTTTTCCTTAACAGTTTGAGCCATAACCCCCCAAAGCAAATCCTAACCATCCCTTTGTGGTCTTGAAACTTGTGGTATAATTTCAGAGAGATCCATACACCGTTCCACAAGTTATTGTCTGGAAACTAGAAAAATGCTTATTTTTGGCCCCTAATTCCTTAACTGTTGGTACCATAACCCCCAAAATCAATCCCAACCTTCCTTTTGTGGTATTGAACCTTATGGTAAAATTTCATAGAGATCCATTCAATTAAACTAAAGATATTGTGCGAAAACCAATGTGTCAACTTTTTGCGGTCGTATAAAAATATCAGAATATTGGTCTTAGGACTAGAAGTTAGAAAAGAATTTGGAGTTCGTCAAGTAGTTAAGGAAAAATATCTGCTAATTAGGGTACAGGAGGACAATAATTCAATAGCATATAAGATAAAAGAATTTTCTTTTACAAAAAGTCCACATACATTTGTTTTTATAGTAAAAATTAGCCATTCAAGCATATCAAACCTACATGTATATTCAACTATTTGTTTTTTAAATTTGAAGTATCATGACTTATAACTTTTAAATTCCACTTTTTTATACAGTGATTTTTACACAGAATAGTTCAGACATACTTTGGTTTGACATTCATAGTAATATTTTTCTCAATATATAAATTTTATGCTGATATTAAAAGTAATTATTTGTGGATCAAAGTTTTTAAAATCATACTATGTAACACAGTTCACCATTCATTGATTGTTGCTTGCTAACCATCCAGTGGCATTTTGAATTTCTTTCTTTGCTCTGAACTATCTATTACAGCAGAGTACAAATTTTGTTTTGATAGTTGTAGTTGTTGTCATGTACATTTGTACAATATATAATGGCATTTCAAATTACAATGTTTTGTAAAATCTAAGTCGGAAAATGTCACCAAGCTGAAATTTGTTTCCGCCAAAAAGCGTTTTTATCCACTACAAATTGTTTGATCTGCCACTTCATTTTGAAAATTATAGCTTTCTATTTGACAATGTTAGTTTTTTACTATTGGGGTGAAAAAGTGTGTACACTAACTTTTTGGTCCTGATCAAAACAATCAAGTCATTATTGTAATTCACATGTTTTGCACTTATCTGTATCTTGACTCATTTCCAATTTTATAATAATGTAACTCACTTTCACTATAGATATGAACAAACCGATATTTCGTTATGGTTAATTTTTCATAACTTGCAAGACTAGAAGACATACAGCATGTACAGTATCTATGACTTCACTTTTAAGATATACATTAGTCCAAATAATTATGAAGTCTTGCAAGGCTATTTTAATTTTTTCTGTGACGCCTTCAGGCCTTGCAAGACGTCATAATTATTTGGACTAGATATACATGTAAGTTAAGAAAATAACACCAGTAAAAAAATTATTGTTTGTTTACCTCTTCAACTGATAATGGCATGCATATTCTATATTCTTTTAAATGCATTATGTATTTAGCTGTTTAACATTTCAGTAGGAATAAAAACCTCCACAGCATTCACTTGTACTACTAGTAGGTTGAGCTGCTAATCTGTATTAATCTTTTGATTTTCAAGATTATCTAAAACAATGAACAGTCCCGAGGAAACCGAAAACATTTCCGGATTTATCATTTCTTCCGTTTCCCTTTTATTTCATGAAATTAATAGTAAAATAAACATATGTTTCCTCTAAGTTTTCAGATTCTTAAAAGAAAGATAAGTGCCAATAGTAAATTCGTTAGTTAATATCTTCTCAGCCATCTGATTGACATTTGCAGAAAATCAAACATGAAACATTAAGAAAATTTGTCAATTTCCCGTACCCGACTTTAAAATATCTTGAAATCTCGTTTAACTGCCGTTAAATGCGAGAGTTCACAGAAACAAAAATGGACAAACAACTAACCATGGAAGGGACCGGCGAGGAACAATCTAAAAAGATGGAGGTGGACTACAGTGCCACAGTTGATGAGAAGATCCCAAAGTGTGAAAAATTGGCTAAGGTAATTACATAAGTAGAAAACCCAATGCCTCTTTTTATAGCCTACACACGTTACAATTAATTTATGTGCTGTAACCATCTTCAATTTTGCCCTGTCATCATGATCTAACATGGTCCAGTGCTAATTACTAGTTTGTGTACATTGTTCTAGCATTACATGACAATCTATCTAATATGAGGCAGATGCTACCAAATTGGTTCCCAAAAGTTATTAGTTTTAAGACAGGTCCATATAAATTTGGACAACTTGGACACTCTACAAAAAAGACAACTCAGACTGTCTGAGAAAACTACACTACAGTATATATAAATTTCAACATGTTGAAGACAACTATATATAAACTTCAGTCTTGAATGTGTTGAAGACAGTCACTTCAAAGTTTAAACTAGGACCTACTATGAAGACAGCTATGATTGTTGACTGTCTATACTGCCAACTCAGACAGAGTTTGACAGGAGAGTTATGACAATACTGTCGTAGATGGTACATATATTTCCAATAATGGTAAAGAAAACATTGCATTTAATGTTTCAAAATTTATTTGGATCAATATTTTTAAACCAGAAAGATTACAGTCTTAAAGCATATGTTACTTATGTAACTGTGTTATGCACTTAAAGACAGTTTAGGTGAAATTATGGGAATCAAATTGAATATTTTCAAGCTTGTACTGTTTTAAACAGTTATCATGACACATAACATAATATCCATCAAATTGACAGCATGGACAAAGTTGTAATAGGGGGAAAATTTAACTGTCAGTGAGCAGGCACTTTGATCACAAATTTTAGGAATCTTACAATATTTTACTCTTTCAGGGGTTAAGGGGTTTATAAAACATATTTATGGTTTCCTATTCAATTATTCTGACAGTTATAATATTTACTTATGACCTGTACAAAATTTACATAAACGTATTGTTGAGATATGATCAAACATTTGATGGCCTTCCTTTTAAATGTTTAAGGTACTAAATAATATGATATACATGTACATATGTTTTTGTCAAGCGGTGTTAATGAACAATTTGCTGAGAGTGGAAATTTGTCTTTTGGAAATTATATGAATAAAGGCAAACTTTGTCAAAGTTTTTGCTACATTTTGTGCCATGAGCCCAAGTTTATTTTATTTCAATTCTAAGTTCTCTGAGTCGTGCATGGATCCCTAAATACAGCATGGACTAGCACCACTGCATATCTTATCTGACTGTCAAGCTGAACAGACTGTCAAAAATAAACAAACCTGGAGTCAACAAGTCTAGCTAGGTCAGTCAGAGCTCAGACATAAACAAGTCGTTTTTTTGTTTTTGACTAACAGAAGTCCAAAAACGTATTTATTATAAAAATGTGTTTTCATTTTCAGACTTAAGTCAGAAAATGACAGACTTGTTTAGGTCTATTTATGATAACTTTAATTGACGATCAATGTGCACCACCTATGACATCATAAACCTGTCTGAGAGTTCACAAGGACCTGAGCTATCTATATTAATTATCTAATTGAACATTTTTACTTAACATAAGATTAATTTCCTCATTTTGTTTGGTAATAGATGGTTGCATTGTAAAGTACAATGTAAATAAACATTATCACCGTTTTTTTAGGCTCTCATGCATATTTTTCTTTAGCATGTTTAGAAGACAAAGCATTGTACTTCAATGTTGTCATAATTTCATGTAGATGCTTGAACTTTTTATAAATGTGCTTGGGTCTTGAAATTGACCAATTTTGGTAACTTATTGACTTGTAGCTATAGGAGTCAATATTTGCAACTTTTAAATTCAGGTCAAATATTTCTTCCTTAACACTAATCATGCTAATTGACTTATTGAAGTCATAATTTGTCTTAACTTAAAGGGAGACAAATCTAGAAACCTACAAATTCAGACCACTATGAGTCTAAAGTAGATTTAGACTTATTTATGTCTGAGTTCTGACTGTAGGTACAGGATGCATTTCGATAAAAAGCTATTTTACCTTACTCTATACAAAGCATTTCAAATTCTTCTATTTCAAGTTAGATGTACATGTACTATAAATCTCGAAATGTTTAACCGAAACCTTACTGGAAGACTTTCAGGAACCAAATACTAATTTACAAATATTCCTGCTTACACAGGTCTGCAACAGGAAGTTGATTCATGTAAGACAAGATGTGGAACCAGTTCAATGTTTACAATTTTCAATAGTAGTTTTTGGCAATTTTGACACTTATTAAAGACTATATCCCGCCACGTTGAAAACCTTATAAACGTAATTTCTTGAAATGAGTATACTTCATGTTCTACTGATTTCATGTTCTCATTTTTGAATTAGTATGATTGATCTGATAAATTCTTGCAAATATCTATACATAGTTACAGAGTCAGAGGGCAATCATCTTACTCTTTTAATTTAAACTAACTATTGCTTGCTATGTTACTATGTTACTGCTGTTATATGATTTATTTATTGAGATAAATACATACTGGACAAGAATAAAAGTCATTCTTTTATGCTAGATTCATTAATATATGATTATGCTGGAGTCTACCAACTACACTTAAAGCAAGACTATCCAGCATTCTAGAGGAACACTATGACTCTTTGTTTCTCTTTAAACAATGTTAAATACTGAGAGATTTCTTTTTTCTTTTCTATATTGTTTACATTTTCACTAATGTTAGTTTTTCATCAAGGGTAACACCTAATAATTTGGGTTGTGGGTTGTATTTAATAGCTTTGTTAGTAATAACTTACCTATGAATACAAACCTGTTTTTGTACTTTTCCTGTGTGTTTTCTATTTCTAAAATAAATACAGTACATATATAATCTGTCTTATCTGTATCCTTTACGATGAACTGCGCATGCACGAAAGTATTCATATGAATTTAAAGACACTAAAACGTAAAATACGAAATAATTAAGTATCAAACTAAACGAGAGAGACAATTATAGTTCTTATTTAGCAATTTTAATTAAAAAAAATTATAATTTCCTGCCTTTTTTAAAACACGAACCAATCCGTAGATGAATCCGGATTCATTCTGAATTTATTATCCACTTGTCACTTCCCGTTTTCATTTCGTTTGGAAATCGAAAGTAAACGTGATCTAGTCATGATAAATTTACAATTTAAAGTCATTAGAATTGTTCCAATAAGGATTTGTACAAATCTTTGGTTCCAACTTTATAGAATTAGTTCTAAATATCGCTTTAAAACGTTTTTAAGTATAAATAATGCAGTGAAATAGTCCTTACAAGTTCATTTATGCTGTGATTCCTGGTTTAAAAAAAAATGGATCCCAACTTTTGCTGATTAGGAATGTACCCTGAAACTAACTGAAGTGAAATTGTGAACTAGATTTCTAGATCTTATATCCTAATCTTCGTATTAAAGTGCCACATCAGTTTAATCATGCAGTAACTGCCTAGTATGCCTAAGTCCTTCAAAGACAAAGTCTGACAAAGATGTATAGATAGTAATATACATCCTAGGTCCCTTGCTGCTACCCAAAATAAGGTTGATTTTCATCCCGCGCAAAAGTGACTAAAGCCCTCAAAATCCTAGCTTAAACCCTGGATGTACCGTTTTCTGCATCAATCATCAATTACATTAATTTCTCCTGTTTTTTTTCTAAATCATTACCAGTATTCCAAAACGTGCTATCAACATGATCAACAGAAAATTTATTACAAAACTGTTGAAAAGAAATAATGAAATTTCAAAGCCTTATGGGAGTCTCAGTACTGCATAATACATGAATGATAATACTTGTTTTATACAGTTTATGTTTGTGGATTTTAATATTGATCATGTTGATAGTTTTGGATTCCAATATTGATCATGTTGATAGTTTGTGGATTATAATATTGATCATGTTGATAGTTTGTGGATTATAATATTGATCATGTTGATAGTTTGTGGATTCTAATATTGATCATGTTGACAGTTTGTGGATTCTAATATTGATCATGTTGATAGTTTGTGGATTCTAATATTGATCATGTTGATAGTTTGTGGATTCTAATATTGATCATGTTGATAGTTTGTGTATTCTAATATTGATCATGTTGATAGTTTGTGTATTCTAATATTGATCATGTTGATAGTTTGTGGATTCCAGTATTGATCATGTTGATAGTTTGTGGATTCTAATATTGATCATCATGATCATTTTGATAGTTTGTGGATTCTAATATTTGTCATGTTCATGATATTGATAGTTTGCGGAAGTGCTTATGGTTTAAGTTCATTTTGGAATTAATGGTTTCAGATCTAGCTAGAGTATACATCTAACAAATCAATGAATAATATGCATTTCCTTTGGTATTGACCATTGCTCCATCATTTTTATGAGCATTTATACTTTCTGAGTACATGAATTTTTATACGACCGCAAAAAATTTTGCGGTCATATATTGGTATGACGTTGGCGTCGTCGTCATCCGAAGACACATTGGTTTTCGCACAATAACTTTAGTTTAAGTGAATGGATCTCTATGAAATTTTAAGAAAGGTTGGGATTGATTTTGGGGGTTATGGTACCAACAGTTACGGAATTAGGGGCCAAAAATAAGCATTTTTCTAGTTTCCAGACAATAACTTGTGGAATGGTGTATGGATCTCTCTGAAATTATACCACAAGTTTCCATA